GGACACAATGACACGTAATTGTGTGTCTCACCAATTTGTGAAAGAATGAAAATCACTTTAATTGTGAAAAGGTTGGTTGAATGTTGTTAACTAGAAATGGGTGACTCTCTTGTTTTTTCAGAGTTCAAATGTGTATAAAAGAGCACATATGGGGGGCTCCCCTGGTGGCTCAGTGGTAAAGAATCTGCCTGCCAATGCAGGAGATGTGGGTTCAGTCTCTGGTATGGGAAGATCCCATACGCCACAGTGAAACTAAGCTTGTGTGCCACAACTATTGAACCTGTGCCCTAGAGCCTGTGGTCCACAGCAAGAGAAGCTGCAGTAGTGAGAAGCCTGCACACCACCACGAAGAGTAGCCCTCACTCGCCGCAACTAGGGAAAAGCCTGCACAGCAAGAAAGACTGGAACAGCCAAAAAAAAAATAAAATTCTTTTTTTTTTAAGTGAGTGCATATGGAAACTGAATAGTCTAAGTTGTAAGGCTCTGTTGATTATTAATGCCTTGCAACTCAGTTTCAAATTAACCTTTTGCCTGCTTTGTGCAAATGAATATGGACCCCTTAGTTATTTTTTCCTTTGCTACGGATCAAGCTTTGCTAGTACCGGGTGCTGGTGAGCGTGGGAGGACAGCTCTGCTGTCTGGTTCCAGGGTGCTAGCTTGGTAGGCTGCTACAGAGAGCACAGTTGTGGCAAAGCCAGGATGCTTCAGTGACTGCTGGTCACTAACACCCTTCAGCCAGTAGTTTCCATCCGTCCAGGCCCCTCTCCTTCCTCAGTGAAGTGAGTTTGGTGAGACAGGTCCTGAGCAGCTCTCCTGGCCGCCCAAAGGGCAGATTTCCCTTGGATGGTTCTGAAGAGAAATTTCACAGCAACATCATTTGGAACAGCACCACAGTGACTTCTGCTATTTGAGGATGCATGGTCATGCCACTTTCAGCAATCCCAACTCTGGGGTAAAGAAACAGCTACTTTAACCCATGCTAGGGTTGCCAACTGCTTCTTGTATCTGATATTCCTGTGTCCTTTAAAGTTCTCTTTTCTTCTTTTTTACTCTAATCCCTGTTACAGTTAATAATTCTCTATATCAAACTTTCTATGTGCAAATTTTTGAGTGATTTCTTTAAACATAGACTAACAGTTTCTTACATTTTTAGATACTTCACTGACTTATCATTGTATTTGTATTTCTTGACTGTGGGTTCATATACAGCTTCATCTGCATAAATCACACTTTATACAATCAAGAGAAAATATCTCTTCCTTTCCTCCAGGTTTTGACTACTTTCCTGCAAATGTGGTTTATATTGTCCAGACTGATAACACGTCTAATTCTTCAAAATTGTCAGTATATTATATCAACCTTATACATAAGTTGATTGGAAAAGTTGGAAATCAATAAATAAATCATTTTAGGTCACAGAGAATATAATTTGGATAGAGTACCCAAAGGTTTATTATTATTATTATTATTTCATTTATTTTTATTAGTTGGAGGCTAATTACTTTACAATATTATAGTAGTTTTTGTCATACATTGACATGAATCAGCCATGGATTTACATGTATTGCCCATCCCAATCCCCCCTAATGAGATGGATGAAACTGGAGCCCATTATACAGAGTGAAGTAAGCCAGAAAGATAAAGAACATTACAGCATACTAACACATAATTATGGAATTTAGAAAGATGGTAATGATAACCTGATATGCAAAACAGGTTTATTATTTTTATACAATTTCCTTTCCCAGTTTTATCATGTTTTTTTCATTGTCATTTTTCTGCACTGTTTTCCTTTACCACACCTTGCTCAGTCTTCTACTAGTACTCAAAATGAATGTGTATAAACTTAGCAACAGTAAGAATGCTGCTTTGTGTGTGCCTCCTTCAAATTTTGATTTGATCAAGTTGATTGATAGTTCTGTTCAAGTCATCATCATATTTGCTGAGTTTCTTCCTACTTGACCTATTGATTATTGAGAGAGAAAGTGTGTGTCTGTGTGGGCATGTGCATTCAGTTGTGTCTGATTCTTTGTGGGCTATGGACTGTACCCTGCCAGGCTCCTCTGTCCAGGGGATTCTCCAGGTAAGACTACTGGAGCAGACTGGCATTTCCTACTTCAGGGATCTTCCCGACTCAGGGATCGAACCCTCATCTCTTGGGTCTCCTGCATTGGCAAGTGGATTCTTTATCACTAGCACCATAGAGAGAAAAGTCTAAATCTTCAGTAATAATAATTTAATTATTTCTTTTTTCATTTCTGTCCATTTCTGCCTCCTATAACTTGACATCTATTTTTACATGCATACATATTTCAGATTGTTACGCCATCTTGTAATTTTATTTTTTAACCAGTATGAGTATCTCACTGTCCTGAAGCGATCATAAAGTAAGCTGCAGACATGGGGAACAACCCTGTGATGACCAACCTAGACAGCATATTAAAAAGCAGAGACATTATTTTGCTGACAAAGGTCTGTCTAGCCAAAGCTCTGGTTTTTCCAGTAGTCATCTGTGGATGTGAGAGTTGGACCATAAAGAAAGCCGAGTGCTGAAGAATTGATGCTTTTGAACTGTGGTGTTGGAGGAGACTCTTGAGAGTCCCTTGGACTGCAAAGAGATCAAACCAGTCCATCCTAAAGGAAATTAGTCCTGAATATTCATTTGAAAGACTGATGCTGAAGCTGAAACACCAATACTTTGGCACCTGATGCAAAGAACTGACTCATTGGAAAAGACCTTGATACTGGGAAATATTGAAGGCAGGAGGAGAAAAGGATGTCAGAGAATGAGATGGTTGGATGGCATCACTGACTTGATGGACACGAGTTTGAGTAAGCTCTGGGAGTTGGTGATGGACAGGGAAGCCTGGAATGCTGCAGTCCATGGGGTCACAAAGAGTGGGACATGACTGAGTAACTGAACTGAAATGATCAGGGAACAAATTCTGTGTCTGATAGGTTGAATTGGTTTCTTGTAGATAAGCCTTTAGTTAGAAAGATTTTAGGGATGAAAATCACATGTGGAATTCATGAAAAATAGGTTTATATGCTTCTAACCTAATTTAATAAACTCTCCTGATTTTTCCTACACTGAAGGTGGGCTTGAAGCTTTGGCAAACATGGCATTTGAGGCCAGCATTCAATAACTTGCTACACTCAGGTTATTACTAAAACAGTCTTTGATTTGTCTTTTTAATTACACATTTGTTTTTCATGACCATCTCCTGGGGAGGGAGGAAAGAGTTAGGTGTTAGGTATATAGAATCACATAAAAAGTAGGTGTGGGACATTGTGGCCACGTGCATATTACTGTTTTTTTTTTTTTTTTTTTTTTAATCTCTGTCTCTCTCCCTCTCGAGGTTCCCCAGGTAGCTCAGTGGTAAAAATATGCCTGCCAATGCAGGAGACATAGAAGCTGTGGGTTTGATCCCTGGAGAATGAAATGACAACCCACTCCAGTATTCTTGCCTGGAGAATCCCATGGACAGAGGAGCCTGGCGGGCTAGACCATAGGGTCACAAAGAGCTGGACATGATTGAGCATGCACACCCTCTCCTTCACCACACACACACACACACACACACACACACACACACACACACAAAATGCCACACAGTATGTCTATTATGTATATATGTGCATAAGTGTATATATCATAAAACTTCTAGACAGTATGCATTATCTATACATTTGTATAGAGAACTCCATAGATGATTCACATGTATTTGCCTACTCCGTTGGGCAAAATTTAAAGAACTCACCATATTTATTATTTTCCCTGTTAAGAGCTTAGTCTATAAAAATACTTTCACTTCAACATAGTGGTATAATTTGCTACATAGAAATCAGGATTGCAAACAAAAAATCAAACAGGTATTGGTGTGTGCTAAGTCGCTCAGTTGTGTCCGACTCTTTGTGACCCCATGGTCTATGTATCCTGCCAGGCTCCTCTACCCATGGGATTCTTAGGCAAGAATATTGGGGTGGGTTGCCATGACCTCCTCCAGGGGGTTCCGGACCAAGGGATCGAACCCACACCTTCAGCATCTCCTACATTGATACATCTGGCTGACAGCAGGTAACTGAAACCAGGGAAAGAGAAAGCAGTGATAAAAGGATGATGGTGCTCACCCAGTCTTACCAGTCACCACCTTAGGCAACCAGACCTTCTGGTGTGGGTATTCTCAGAGGCTGCACTAGATGAACCTCTTCATTCCCCAGTTGCCACACGTGCACAGCACTTGGGGTCATCTCTTTTCTGCTCCCAGGCTAGCAAGGCCTTCCACCTCTTTCCCTGGTTCACCCTCTATACTGCTAACAGAACAGCCACTGGTGAGTGTGAGCATGGCTAGGCTAGTTCTGGCTGATATTTCCCCAGCAGTTCCTTGTGTCAGTAGGGATGAAGTCCATATGGAATTCCATGGCACAGCATATCTTTCATGGCCTGGCCCGCTCATATCCTTCTCCTGATTGCTGTGTGCCTGCCCAGACGTTTCATGCTATGGAGGTACTTAGCTAACTCAGAGTCACTAGTCCTAGACCCATTCCCCATGGGGAATGGATATATGCCTCCCGCCATCTTAAAACCCATTTCCTTGGCCACCTTCTTCTATTGAAGGCTTGGCTCAAAACCATTTCTGTGTGAATTTCTCCGAGACTAGTTATCACCATGTTTCACGTATTGGTGCTGCTGCTGCTGCTGCCAAGTCGCTTCAGTCGTGTCCGACTCTGTGCAACCCCATAGACGGCAGCCCACCAGGCTCCGCCGTCCGTGAGATTCTCCAGACAAGAACACTGGAGTGGGTTGCCATTTCCTTCTCCAATGCATGCAAATGAAAAGTGAAAGTGAAGTCGTTCAGTCATGTCCATGGGATTCTCCAGACAAGAACACTGGAGTGGGTTGCCATTTCCTTCTCCAATGCATGCAAATGAAAAGTGAAAGTGAAGTCGTTCAGTCGTGTCCGACTCTTTGCGACCCCATGGACTGCAGCCCACCAGGCTCCCCCGTCCATGGGACTTTTCAGGCAAGAGGACTGGAGTGGGGCGCCATTGCCTCCTCCGCAGTATTGGTGAGGCACGGTAAAGGGAAAAAGCAAAAACAGCATTTCAGGCATGGGTGATCCCTGAAATTCTATGCATCCTTCTATATTATTTTTACAACAAATCACAAGCTTTATTAAATGAAGCTCTGAATATTCCAAATAGATGAACCTTTAGTATATTCCTTAATGTGCATGAAATGTAATGTGTGTACTTCTTTGGTCCCTGAACATACTTCAATCTTTGGGTTCTCCTTTTCTCCCAGATTTAGCTTTCCTGACTCAAGTCAGGTTCTCTCATTTTAAGTATCTCACTCCATATCCAACCCTTTTACCACATTCATATGCACCATCATGAAACAGTAGCTTAAATGCATCATGGTCATATGTGGTTTGTTTAATCATCTGTGTCACAAAGCTAACTGAAAACTCATCATCAAAATGCTGTTATATTTATGCCAAAACACAACTCCAGCCCTTTATACTCTAGCACTATGTGGACCCTAAGTAAGATGATCATATAATAAAGGCAAAACAGACCATAAAACATACCTGGAGCTGTTGTTCAAGAGGTTTCATACTTCCTGTGCCACTGTAACCATAAACTCTAAAATTATGAGGTAAGAAAGCTCTGTAAAATAAGATTTTCATGGAAAATTAAATAAGTATCTAAGGGCAAATGTGTTTCCTAGATTTTATTTTGAAAAGATATTTCTTTTATTATATTTATTATAGATAGCAAGAGAGACAGAGAGAGAGAAAGGGAGAGAAAGGAGACAGAGAGATTCTCTGAATACAAGAATTTAGTTCTAATTTTGGAGAAGGAAATGGCAACCCACCCCAATATTCTAGCCTGGAGAATTCCATGGACAGAGGAGTCTGGCGGGCTGCGGTCCATGGGGTCACAGAGAGTCAGACACGACTGAGTGATTAACACACACACACACACACACACACACACACACACACAGTTCTGATTTGGCTCAAAATTTCTTGTCTTCAGACTTCTCCTCATTCACCTCACTGTCACATTGTACTCCCTGCTGTTTTTTAAAACACAATGGGCATTACCCATTGTGTTTTCAAAAACAGCAGGGAGGACAGTGTGACAGTGAGGTAAATGGGTAATGACAACCCTATATGCAAAACAGAAAAAGAGACACACATGTACAAAACAGACTCGTGGACTCTGTGGGAGAAGGCGAGGGTGGGATGTTCTGAGAGAACAGCATTGAAACAAGTATACTATCAAGGGTGAAACAGATCACCAGCCCAGGTTGGATGCATGAGACAAGTGCTCAGGGCTGGTGCACTGGGAAGACCCAGAGGGATGGGATGTGGAGGGAGGCGGGAGGGGGGATCGGGATGGGGAACACATGTAAATCCGTGGCTGATTCATGTCAATGTATGGCAAAAACCAATACAATATTGTAAAGTAAATAGCCTCCAACTAATAAAAATAAATGAAAAAAAAAACCCACAAAGTGGGCAGACTTTCTTCTCAAGGTATTTGTACTAGCTGTTGCCTGTTCCTAGGATGTTTTTCAACATAGCTGGTTGTCTCACCTACTTCAAGTCTTTGCTTATATACTTGCATGTCCCTGAGGCTTCTCTCAACAAGTTTATAAAACTTGGTAACTTTCCCAATTATCGAAGCATATGATTTTCAAATGATACTCCTTACTTTGCTCTGTAATTTTGCTTAAGCATGTGTCGCTTTCTAATATTCTTTCCAATCCCCCCTTTTTAATCACATTATTATTAGTCTCATCTGATAATATAAAATTCATATGCATTTTGTTTACTCATGTAATTCAAGCTCTTTAAAAATATCTGGAAAATAACAGTCAACAAATATTGAACTAACATGACATGAAGTCAACAGACAAGGTGGGGATCTCACTTTAAAATACATTATTTGTAAACATGGGAAGAGGATATTTAAAAGTCTTTATAAAAAGAAAAGGTAGGTGTAGGTATTTCCTTTTCATTTTCCCAACATGTATAGTATAAAGATTGGTGACCGTTATGGCAGTCCGGATTTGTTAAAGCAAAAGATCAAAGAGCCAAACCACTGACAAGCAGACCAAAATTTTCCTCATTCTGGTAGCAAAAAAGAAAATAACACACAATGGAGTGGAGCTCTAGGGAATGCACAGATTCTGGGTTGAAAGCCCTCTGAAGAGGCTTAGCTAGTGATTTGCAGATACTGTTTTTGGGCAAAGAAAGAAGTCATATATCTATGCTTGGCCGAGGGAGGAAGCTATTACTGAGGGGTCTAGAAACCAGCAGAACTTTTGGTGGCTGTGCAGTTCTGGAATAAACATATGAATATTTAAGTTGTATCAAATACATAGCTTCTTTCCCTGTAAAATCATTTGCCACATTTTGAAGTTGCACAGAGTAGCCAAGGAGCTGAATTTAAATCTCTGAAAATAAGACCAAATATTTTTTTCAAAATTGATGATATAGACTCAATAAATCCTATTTTATTCAAGCATGATAAAAGCAAAGAAAAACTGCACCTACATTACTAGTTTTAAAGGCTGATGAAAACCAAAATAAAGGCTTCTAAGTATCAAGAAAAAGATGTTCCCTTTAAAGAAGAGCACTAAACTAAGACTGAGAGCTTAAGTTGTCAATACAAAAGAGGAAAGAAAGCCAGAAGACAATGAAATAAATACTTTTAAAGGACAAAAGTCATTTTAAAAAGGTCATCCCATGATTTGTTCCAGCAAAATGTTTTTAAGAATAAGGTTAGACACGGTTGTAAAAAAAAATGTACATATGAACACCAAGAGGGAAAAGAGAGGGGTGGAATGAATTAGGAGACTGGGATTGATGTATATACACTGTTGACACTATGTATAAAATAGATAACTAATGACAACCTATGGTATAGCACAGGGAACTAACTACTCAATGGTCTGTGTTGGCCTAAATGGGAAGGAAATCTGAAAGAGAGGGGATATATGTGTATGTATGGCTGATTCACTTTGTTGTGCAGTAGAAACTAACACAATATTGCAAACCAATTATACTCACATAAAAATTATCTTCTTTTCTTGTTTTTTTTAAGATTTATTTTCAATTGGAGGATAATTGCTTTACAGTGTTGTGTTGGCTTCTGATGTACAGTGTGAATCAGCCATAAGTACACATACATCCCTCTCCCTCCTGAAAGCCCCCCTTCAGCCCCTTCCACCCCGTCATCTAGGTCATCACAGAACAGCAGGCTGAGCTCCCTGTGACATGCAGCAGCTGCCCACTGGCTATCTGTTGTATACATGGTCGTGCGTATGTTCCACTGCTACTCTCTCAATTCATCTATTTTTTTTTTTTTAGGAGATTTAACTTCCCACAAAGAGAAAGGTGAGGTGAAGATGGAGCAGAGAGAGATTTGAAAGATGCTGGCCCTGAAGATTCAAATGATAAGGTCACAGGCCAAGGGAAGCTGGCAACCACCAGAAGCAGGGAGGAGTGGAAGACACACTATGCCTCCCCCAGGGAGCCGAGTCCTGCTGACATCTTAATTTTGTCTCAGTGATGCTAATTTCAGAAATCTGGCCTCCAAAACTGTGAGACAATACATTTCTGTTATTGTAATCCACTCCGTTTGTGGTGATTTGTTACAATTGACACAGGAAACTGTATGTGCATGTTCTAGAAAATTTAGAAAAATGTACATAGGAAAAAAAAATCACTTGCAATCCCACTGCTCAGGAATTGTACTGTGAATGTTTTTGGTGAACTTCTTTCTAAATCCTTACTTTTATTTATTTATTTATTTTTCTTTTCCATTTATTTTTATTAGTTGGAGGCTAATTACTTTACATCATTACAGTAGTTTTTGTTATACATTGAAATGAATTAGCCATGGATTTACATTAAATCCTTACTTTTAAAACATAAATATATATATATGTGTGTATATATATGTATATATATAATGATTTTTGTATATTTTCAACTTAAGTAAATTTGATATACAATAAATTGAAATATTTAAAATAAGAAAAAGAATCAGGCTAATATTTAACACTGAATGCAAGCTAATCAAAACCAAGCAGACCTACAATAGAAGTGAAGAGAATTCTTGAGACATAAAGAAACTAACTGCAGATAGAAACAAATGTAGGAAAAATGAAGAGCGCCACAATGGGTAAATTCATGCTTAATTATAAAGGGACATTGACTGTACAAAAAATAATTGTTACATTGGGGCTTAAAAGCATACAAGAAAAATAATGAAAAACTAGAAGACAAGTGAAATGAAAAAGGCTTAATGATCTAACAACGTATGTGTTTGTGTGTGTGTTAGTTCCTCAGTTGTGTCTGACTCTTTGACTGCAGACCACTTAGGCTCCTCTCTCCATGGAATTCTCCAGGCAAGAACACTGGAGTGGGTAGCCATTTTTTCCCCAGGGGGTCTTTCCAACCCAGGTATTGAACCAGGGTCTCCTGCATTACAGGCAGATTCTTTACCATCTGAGCCACCAAGAAAGCCCCCAACAATGTAGAGTAACTTGTACAAGTAATAATTTATATTAGATTCAATAACTCAGGAATTAATATGATAGTCTAGAGAAACTACTAAAGAATAGTAAAAGATATATAACAAAGAATTTAATTGAAAGAAAATGCTATAATATAAAATAATAGATTCATTAAAATGGAGACTATAAAGGAAAAAGGAATACAAAATAAAATGTACAAAAGACAAAAATGACTTCAGACATAATACAGAAAATCAAGGGATCAAGAAAAACAAGAGCATCTTCAAATTGTTGAACACAGCTAGACTTAGTACAGTACTTAATACTGTGTGATATCTGTACAGATAAATAGGGCTTGGGAGTAAACCTAAAATTAGAGAAAATAGTCCAGAAAGAGATCCCTGTCATAAACACTCTTTTGAATTATGACAAACATTTCATTACAGTCAAATGGGAAAATTATGTTTTCAGTAGCATGTGCTGGATTCACTGGAGGGTAATACAAAAAAATATTCAAATCTGGACTCCCATGCTCATAAAACACACAAACATGAATTCTGGATGAATCCTAGAGTTGAGTATGAAAGTGAAAACAATAAAAACTATTAGACAAAAGTGGCAGCTTGAATTCATGACTGTATGGAGACAAAGATTTCTTTCAATATATGAAAATAATAACACCTACAAAGAAGATAATAATTTGGATTGCATTAAAAGAGAGTTTCAGACTCAATTAAAAAAATTCCTGACTGAATAAAAAATTGAAAGAGAATGATAGGAAAAATTCCTCCAAAAGTACTATGTAGATTCAATGAAGTCACAATCAATATCTATGGACATTTCTTGGTGGAAGAGTTTTTTGTAAAATATATGAAAATGAAAGTGGTAAGAAAAGCCAGAATATTCTTGATGAAGATAATATAAAGAGACAGACTGACTAAAACTTTTAATAAAGGACCCATAGAAAAAAAGACCACTAGAGTTTTGATTTTTCTTTATTCCTGAATATGGTGTGCTTTTTTTTTTTTTTAAACTAATTTCCTCAGCTTGTATGGGATTGAGTTTGGGTAATTACAGTTATATCCCACATCCTTAATACATTCTGATGTATAAACTAATTTAAAACTCACTGTTCTTTCCACTCAAAAATCCACTATGTTCTTTCAAACTAAGTTGAATATGAGAACTTGAAAACAAGTCATATTTATGTATTAATGAAAATTTTAAGATAATTAATATACATGCTTAAAAGATTTTTCTGAAGCATAAAATAAGAGACAAATAGCCAGCAACTGAAAATATTAAAGAATGCAAAATAATTACTTTCTGAATAAATATAAATAGTAACTATAAGTAGAACAAAGAAAATGTGATAAAATAATGTAGGTCACCTACTTTTGCATTAGGTTCACAGTGTATATTTTCCCTTCAATTAAAATGTTGTAGGATACCTGGCAGGAGAGTGGATTAAAAAGGCAAAAGAAAAGTGAGAAAAATGTTATAAAGGAAAGCTATCTTTTATGCTACCAATAATCACATCCTATAGCACACTAATACAATAAAAAGAGGAAAATTTATAATTTAATATTGACTTATTCCAATGGAATCAGATATTAAAATATTTGCTTCATTTTAAAGAGATGTAATAATATAATTTGTGCAGTTTTTTTAATTTTTAATGTTTAGCCAATAAGATAGAACCTAAAACATTGATTATTTTAATCCGTGTGTTTAATAATGAACTCATTGAAAAATTTGCACTTAAAAGAATATAATTACTCAAAAGAATGTTTATGTAGTATAGCAAAGAATTAACTGCTCATGTTTGATATTTATAGATTTTATAAAATTTGTTTCAAGTTTGGATGCAATATTCATTGATTTTGTTAATATTAAGATAAATTTTGCCTGATAAATAGTGGTTGTATAGTAAATGCTAACTTTACTCTTTGCTTTGTACAATTTTTCTTATTTTTGTGTTAGACCTTTCCATTCCCTTGTGATTTAATTGTTTCTCTTGTAGGTATATATTTTAAAATCTAATTTGAAAGGTATGTGATTTCTGATAAATGTAATCAAAGTATAAAGTTTTATTTAAAATTTAATTCTCCATTGTATCAAGACATATGTATGTTTTGTATTCTTTTATTTGTTACAATTACAATTGCATATGCAATTTATTTTGAGTTATACATATCCATACTTTTCACCAGTTCCTGCTTTTATGTTGTTCTTTGTCTCAGTTTCAATTTCTACCTGCTGAAGCACATTATTTAAAATATTTTCTTCTCTTGTAATCTGAAAGTGTTAATGTACTCTAATTTCTAATAAACTGCATTTATTCTGTGTTGTGATACCTGATCTCAGTTCATCTATGTTTAATGTAACCTCTTCTCCAGACTTTTTCTCTCTCTTTTCCAGGAATTCTAACTATTCTGTACCTATAAGCCTCTAATTCTCCCGTTTTTGTTTAGCCATTTACATGTTGTATCTGTTTATTTCTTCAGCTGTCTCTGGTCTACTGTTAATTCTTGATTTTACATGCATATCTTTCAATATAGAAATTCCACTCAGTTATTTTTAAAATCTTCTAGTCTTTTTTAAGTTGAATATTCTCTTACGGTAATTTATTGATTATAATAATTATAAATATAACACATTGCATATTGTGTTTGCAGCATTTGTGAAATCGGTAGGTATGGTAACTTCATCAGTTCAAAAAATACTTTTAATCCCTTATTATGTATCCATTACCGTTCTAGGCATTGGAATAAGAGATATTAACACAGTAGTCAAAAAATTTCCCTCATGAATTTGACAGTTGAGGAAAGACTTTTCTTCTGCTTCTCTTATGGGAATTACTGTCATTGAATCTGGTGAAACCTGGCTGAAGACATTTCCTTCTTAAGTAGGTTCTGTGTATATTTTCTAATATGACCAAGTAATTCCATAGATTTTTTCCATAAAAGATAAAACACTCTTAAAATGCTGTTAAATGTCTCACTTCCTGTTCTCTATTTAAGTAATTTAAAGTTTTCATTAAATACATATTCCCTTATAAATTATATATTGACAATTTTAGGCTTGTAATATCTGTGTTAGGGTGAGCAGTAAGTAGTTGCTAAGTAAGTATTTGCATTCAAATTATCTAAACATTTACTACTCAATCAAAAAGAAAATTCAGGTGTAGTGTTTCAAAAACCATACTTCACTTCTTCAGAAATTATTCTGGAAATTAATTTAAAAAAGATAAGAATCTTTCTAATTGAGTCAAAGAATAAAAAAGAGAAAACTAATACCTGAACCAAGACAACTAAGATGGCACGAAAAAAATTCTTAATGATTAACATGTTTGCAATTAAGATATAAAAATTATTCATGTAACATTTCATTAAATCAAATGCTTATCATTCCATACAAGGATGCCATAGGTTTACTAAACAACAACTGCAAATCCTCCAAATCTTGCATGGTGAGTGAAGGTTGAGAGACTCCAAATGGATCAAGTCAGAGATGATTCAGACACTCAAGGGGGAAACATTTAGAAGCTGGGCCTTGAGACTTTAACATAAACATCACTTCACCATATTTCTATGAAGCACTGTTAATCTTGGTTCATTTTCAAAAGGGCTTTTTCACTTAAGAAAAATTAGGGATAAATATAAAATTCAGAAAGTGTGCAAGGATGAAAAGCACCAGGTTTACTTATTAGGAACAAAATATTCACATGCTTTTTCAGTTCATGGAAAATGTTAGTGCTTTCATTACATGTGTTTCTACTCCTCCACTTGATGTTGACCGTATTTTCTCCGGAACTGTAAACTGCACACGTAGTCTTTCAGAATCTGCAAGGTGCAAAATGTTTTACTGGGGCAACATCCATCACCTCACAGCTTCCTTCATTATTTCCTCATCTAAACCCATAATATTCTACATGCTGCCCCTCATTTCTGCTCTCTTTTCAAAGACCCTCAAAATCCACTTCTTTCTAGAATTACAACTCTTTTCAAGAGAAATAAGCATGCTTCTTTAGGAATATTGCCCTGTGGGCAGGTTCCGGTAACCCTGAGGCCAAGTATTATTAGAACAAAGAAAGTCAGATCCTTTGGACTTTGCAAATACAGAACCCAGAGATCAAAAACTCAGGGCAGTCTGTGAAACAATCATCTTAAGGTGTGTACTCCAGCCCCGGCATCGGCATCGCACGTATTTACTACGGTCTCAAAAAGAGTGGTCAAGACCCTCGCAACCAAAGTGGATTTTGACTGGGGAAGGAGGCGATGCGGGAGTGTTTTCGGACTTACATGGAGCTCCCGTCAAGAAAGCATTTTCACAGAGACAGCCGGTCTCTCAGAGGGAAACGAAAAGGAGCCCTGACATCCCCAACAGGTCAGAAGAGGGATTTTGTACTTACTGTCCTCTGTCTGAAGCCCGGTGAGCCCCAGGAGCAGAGACAGAAGGCACAACATGGCTTGATGTCCTGGATGCCGGACGAGTGACGGCCGTTGGCTCGACTGCAGGGCGGTTGGCGCGCGCGAGGAGGAGCGCCCCGGCCACGGCCACGCACACGGCCGGAGGCAGGCGGCTGGGAGAGCCGTGGGTCCAGACTCCGGACGCTGTGTGTTGTTCAACGTGGGCGACCTGGGCCCCTAAGCCTGTGCAGGAGGAGGCTGCAACCCAGTGTGACTCTGCCTTCTGGCTAAGAAAGTGCAGAATCACTTTTGAAACAGAAGGTTGAAGCAGCAGCTAATGAACAGGAAGGTTCATCTGTACCTTACCTGAACTTTTGCATATAATATATTGTGTACAAATATATACGTATTTATATATTTATCAATAAACATATTAGATACATAATAAATATTTATGTACAGCTCAATATTCAAGTGAATAGACCAGTATAATTAATACCTAGATCCAGATTAAAAAATAACATATAGAAATACCAAAGCTGCCAGACTGTTAACAACTGTCAGCAGCCCCTGATAATCACTACTTCTAAGACAATAGTTTTGTCTGTTTTTCAACTTATATAAATGGAGCTAATCATCATGTATTCTTTTTATGTTTAAGTTCTTTTAACAGTATTAGGAGATCCATACATATTGTGAATAGTAAAAGCTATTTTTTTCTCTTGTTGCTGTATAACACGCATTGAATGAATATGTCTGTTTTTTCTATTTTACTATTGATTATAATTTTATTCACTATAGTTGCAGCTATTAAAAAACATATTTGGCATAATATCTTCCAGGTCCATTCTGTTGTTGCAAATGATATTATGCTTGCTGAAATAAGTCAGACAGAAAAAGACAAATACTGTATGTTATCACTTATATTTGGAGTCTTAAAAATCAAACAAATGAGTATAAAGAAACAAACACAGATATAGCAAGCAAACTATAAAGTGGGGAGGAGAAAGTGGGGAAGAGAGTGAAAGGGGTATGGGATTAGGAGGTACAAACCCCTTTGTATAAAATAAATGAGCTACAAGGATATAATGCACAGCACAGAGAATATAGTCAATATTTTATAATAACTTTAAATTGAGTATAATCTATAAAAATTCTTGAATCACTATGTTGTACACCTCGAACTAATATAATATTGTAAACCAACTATACTTCAATTAAAAAAAATATTTTGGATCAGTGAAAATAACCAAAAACCAAAAAAACCAAAAAGAAAAACAACTATGTTTGGCCCTTCTATTTCCTTAAGGTTGGTCAATTTTTGATTCTTGTAGTTTGAAGATTTTTTAATATGCCCAGTTAGGGATATTTTGTCTTCTTGAATAATTGACCTTTATCATTATAAATACCACTTTTTACTTAGGTATATGCCACTTAGTGATTTACACTGGGTGTATTTCTAGAGTAAAGTTGCTGGATCACAGTGTGTATGTTAGTAGGTACATTCAAAAAGTTTTCTAAGGCTACTGTACTAATTTGTATTCTCGCCAGAAATGTACAAGAATTACATTTCATATCAATGCTTACATTTGCTTTTGTTTTAATGCTTATTTCATTCTAGTCATTTTGGTGGACCTGTAGATGTTGTACATTTTTGTTTTAATTTTTATTTTCATGGTTAGTGAGTTTTAGCACATGTTTATATGTTTATTTGTTACTTATATAGTTTTGGTAAATACCTGTTTGAAAACTTGGTCCATTTTCCAACTAAGTGGCCATGTGTCTCTTTTATTATATGTCGATCTTATTAATAGGTTCTAGATATGATGCCTTCATTGGATATAATAGTCACAAATATCTTCTTCACTGGAGCTTGTATCGTTGGACTTTTGTAGATACCCATTTGAGATCAGAAATTTATTTTTTTCCAATTTTCTGGGATTTTCATAATAAATATCTTATCAGGGAAGTTGGATTTTATCTAAAGCTTTATTTTGTATAAATTGATCATATAGTTTTTTCCATTTTCTATTGATGTTGTGAATTAAACTTACTGATTTTCCAGTGTTGAACAGACTTGCATTCCTGGAATACATACTATATTGTCATGATGCATTATGATCTGATGCAATGATGATCTGCCATCATTTTGTTTAGAATTTTTGCATTCAAATTCATAAATATTTGCCTGTTACTTTCACTTTAATGAAGCTACTGTTTTTGGTATCAGAGGTGTGCTGGAGCTGTAAAATAAATTGGGCTATTGCTGAGGTCCAGCCCTGGCAGGTCCAGGAATACCCAAGGGATGAGTGGTGTCGGCGAGGAAGAAGACAGACACACGCAGAAGGTTGCATAGAAGAGGTAGGTTTTGTTTTGTTTTGTTTTGAAGGATAGCTCAGTTTTTATAGAATGAACGTTACCTCCCCCTTAAGTCACCACCAGATATTGGTTTTGTGCTCCTGTCAATATTATTTTTCCCCCATGTTTTTCCCCTATGTATTCATCTAGAACATTTCTGATTATGGGGTTTTTGCTTAAATGTCCCGTACATAGTCTTCTTGCCTCAATGGCCTAACATTTTCATTCTAACAAAACAAAGTTCTACAAATCTCAGGTATAGTGTAAATTCTTTGGACAATAAAACAATACATGGGAAGGGTCACAGTAACATGTTTGACATTTCTGAGAATAGTACCTTGTGAAAACCCTGATATTTTTCTTTACCTGAAACCACAAAATCTCAATTTACAATGATTAACTATTAAATAGCAAAAACATTTCTAAAGCAGCAAAACACCTCTATTAATAGTGAGATAATGGCAGTGAAGCTGGTTAATATAAACCTTCTATTGAAATCCTATGTACCCCATTTCCTAACACTACAAAAATACCCATAATACCCCATGTTATTTAAAGAAAGGGAAACAATGAACAAATAGCAGCAAAGAAATAGAAATAATGAAAACCCTCTCAACTAAAGAGCAAGTAAACTGAAGCAGTATATCTACTTCTAAATCTAAATGCCTCTACTCTTTCCTATTCTAGAACATTATAATCATTTAAGCAAGCAGCCAAACTATACCTGTGGCCTTTTCCTTCTTTTTTTGACTGGATGTTTATGGTTATGTCCTGAGCCAGAACAATCACGAGAATTTCCAAAAAGGCTTGGACTTTTCCAGGGAGGCCTTATTACTATATATTATATTTCCAAAAATAAATAGAAAGCCCAAAAACAGTAAGACAGAAGGAAGAAAGGGACATACCGGGCACCCGGGACAACCTCGACGGGAAGAGCTTCCTTGCAGATTCCTTTCTCATCCTGGCGGTTCCCGAGGGGACATATTGGGCCCCCGGGGCAGCCCCATGTGAGGAAGAGCTGCCTTGCAGGTTCCTCTCTCATCCCATGACCTTGTCACAGATTGGGCGCACCCCGGCGGCTCCCAACAGGCTATATTATCCCTTTATTCTTTGAGTTACTGTAATGTTATGATTTTTTTCTTTTAATATTTCTTTAAACTTAGAAGTGGAGTGATCTGGATAATAAGCTCAAGATGGTAGAATAGAAAAATGTGATCTCACTCCCTACTTAAAAAAACACCCAGATCACAACAAACTATTGAGCAATCATTGTCAAAAAATTCTGTGTGTGCTCAGTCACTCAGTCATGTCAGACTCTTTGTGACTTTATGGAATGTAGCCTGGCAGGCTCCTATATCCATGGGATTTTCCCAGCAAGAATATTGCAGTGGGTTGACATTTCCTCCCCTAGGAGATCTTCCCCACCTGGGGATCAAATCCCTATCTCCTGTAGCTCCTCCATTGGCAGGCAGAATGAGCCACCTGGAAACTCCTCCCAAAACTCTGAAATCTACCAAAAAAAGATCCCCTACATCCTAAGAAAAAAAGAAACCACAACAAGATGGTTGGAGTGGCACAATCATAATAAAATTAAATCCTATACCAGTTAGGTGGGTGACCCATAAACTGGAAAACAATAGTATATCACAGAAGTTATACCACAGGAGTGAAATTCCTGAGTCCCATATCAGGCTTCCCAGCTTGGGGGGTCTGGCAATGAGAGGAAAAGTCCCCAGAGAATCTGGCTTTGAAGGCCAGTGCAGTTTGATCCCAGAACTTCCACAGGACTGAAGGAAACAGAAACTCCACTACTGGAGGGTGCACACGACGTCTCATTTACACCAGGACCCAGGGCAAAAAGCAGTGACCCCATCAAACACTGAGCCAGACCTGGCTGCTGGTGTTGGAGGGTCTCCTGCAGAGGTGGGGGCAGCTGTGGCTCACTGCGGGGACAAAGACACGGGCAGCAGCAGTTTGGGGAAGGATCTGTTGGTGTGAGCCCTCCAAGAGGCCACGGTGAGCCCATCAAGCAGCCTGTGGTCTCCAGTGCTGGGTTGCTTTGGGGCAAACAACCAACAGCGTGGGAACACAGCCCCACCTATCAGCAGACAAGTGGCTTAAACTCTCCCTGAGCACAGCCCTACCTACAAGAGGGACAAGACCAAGCTACACCCACCCCTGAGCAGGAATCCATTCCTCTCATCAAGAACCCTGTTCTAGCATCTTAGCCTCATCCATGAGAGGGCAGACAGCCAAAGCAACAACTACAATCCTGAGCCTGCAGGATGGAAACTGTGATCACAGAAAGTTAGTCAAGATTGGCAGAGGAATGGGTCCCAGATGAAGGAACAAGATGAAACTGCGGAAGAACAGCAAAGTGAAGTGGAGCTAGCCAACTCCCAGAAAAAGAATTCAGAATAATGATAGTGAAGATGATCAAGATCTCAAAAAAAGATTAAAGGCAAGGATTGAGAAGATGCAAAAAATATTTAACAAAGATGTAGAGGAACTAAAGAACAAACAGATATGAACAATACAATAACTGAAATAATTAAAAAACAGACAAACAAACAAACTAGAGGAATAAATAGGAGAATAAATGAGGCATAAAAACAGAGAAGTAACCCGGAAGAGACAATGGTGGAAATTACTGCTACAGAACAAAATAAAGAAAAAAGAATGAAAATAAATGAAGATTTTTTAAGAGATCTCTGGGACAGCATTAAAGGCACCAATATTCATATTACATGCATCACTGATATTTGAAGAGATGATAGCTGAAAATTTCCCTCACATGAGAAAGGAAATAGGCACCCAAGTGCAGGATGTGCAGAGTCCCAGGCAGAACAAACCTGAGGAGGAACACGCCAGGACACACGGAAGTCAAACGGATGAAACTAATGACAGAGAAAAAGTATTAAAAGCAACTAGGTAAAACAGGATAATAATCAAGGGAATTCCCATAAGGTCATCAGCTAATTTCCCAGCAGAAACTCTGCAGGCCTGATGGAGTGCATGATATACTTAAAATGATGAGAGGGAAGAACCTGTGCTGTGCCATGCCAAGTTGCTTCCATCATGTTCAATTCTTTATGACCCCATGGACTGTAGCCCACCAGGCTCCTCTGTGAGGGATTTTCTAGGCAAGAACTTTGGAGTGGGTTACTAGAGAACTTCTGACCAAGAATATTCTTCCCAGCAAAACTCTCATTCAGATTTGATGGAGGAATCAAAAGCTGAACAGACAAGCAAAATCTAAACAAGATAATTCAGCACCATCAGATTAGCTTTGCAACACTGAAGAAACTTCTCTAGGCAGGAAAGAGATGAGCAACTTAAAACAACCTTCTTACACATATAGGCTGCCTTCTAGAAGTAGAGTGATTTTGATTTAAGATTTTCTTTGTGAGACAGATTTTTTTTTTATATATTGTAGTGGGTTTTGTTATATGAATCAGCCATGGATTTACATGTGTTCCCCATCCCGATCCCCCCTCCCACCTCCCTCTCTACCCGATCCCTCTGGGTCTTCCCAGTGCACCAGGCCTGAGCACTTGTCTCATGCACCCAACCTGGGCTGGTGATCTGTTTCACTATAGATAATATACATGTTTTGATGCTGTTCTCTTGAAACATCACACCCTCGCCTTCTCCCACAGAGTCCACAAGTCTGTTCTATACATCTGAGTCTCTTTTTCTGTTTTGCATATAGGGTTATCGTTACCATCTTTCTAAATTCCATATATATGTGTTAGTATACTGTAATGGTCTTTATCTTTCTGGCTTACTTCGCTCTGTATAATGGGCTCCAGTTTCATCCATCTCATTAGAACTGATTCAAATGAATTCTTTTTAATGGCTGAGTAATATTCCATGGTGTATATGTACCACAGCTTCCTCATCCATTCGTCTGCTGATGGGCATCTAGGTTGCTTCCATGTCCTGGCTATTATAAACAGTGCTGCGATGAACATTGGGGTGCACGTGTCTCTTTCAGATCTGGTTTCCTCGGTGTGTATGCCCAGAAGTGGGATTGCTGGGTCATATGGCAGTTCTATTTCCAGCTTTTTAAGAAATCTCCACACTGTTTTCCATAGTGGCTGTACTAATTTGCATTCCCACCAACAGTGTAAGAGGGTTCCCTTTTCTCCACACCCTCTCCAGCATTTATTGCTTGTAGACTTTTGGATAGCAGCCATCCTGACTGGCGTGTAATGGTACCTCATTGTGGTTTTGATTTGCATTTCTCTGATAATGAGTGATGTTGAGCATCTTTTCATGTGTTTGTTAGCCATCTGTATGTCTTCCTTGGAGAAATGTCTGTTTAGTTCTTTGGCCCATTTTTTGATTGGGTCATTTATTTTTCTGGAGTTGAGCTGGAGGAGTTGCTTGTATATTTTTGAGATTAATCCTTTGTCTGTTGCTTCGTTTGCTATTATTTTCTCCCAATCTGAGGGCTGTCTTTTCACCTTGCTTATAGTTTCCTTTGTTGTGCAAAAGCTTTTAAGTTTCATTAAGCCCCATTTGTTTATTTTTGCTTTTATTTCCAATATTCTGGGACGTGGGTCATAGAGGATCCTGCTGTGATTTATGTCAGAGAGTGTTTTGCCTATGTTCGTGAGACAGATTTTTATTGTTGTTTTATTGCTTTGATTTTTACTTATACATCTCTTGTCTTTACAAATATTTGGATATTCTCTTTATATTAGGAAAAATTCTGTTTCTAATGGAAATGGTCAACTTCTTCTAAGATGTCGGTTTTATTGGCCAGAGTTGTTCAAAGACCCTTCTCCGGTATCATCCTTTTAAGATGTGTAGAAGTGGTAGCGCCTTCCTCTCAACATCCCAGGACTTGGAAGGGGAGTGTGTGAGAATCGCGAGCTACTGGGGAGAGTGGACCCATGGGTCATCTCTTGAGATGGGAGTGAGTCCCAGGGCTTTGGGAATCTGAGGGCAGTCCGTGGCAGGAGTGCATGATGGAATGTTTGTTTGGGATGGAACAACCTTCCGGGTTCGAAAGAGACTGACTTTCTTGTTTTCTACTAGAGGATTATGGAGGTAGAAAGACTGAAGTTGAGCAGGACACTGTGGGGCCTTCCTGGGCACAAAAGTCTTTCCATGTCTCCCATTTCTTATTTGAAGGAGAAAGACTTTCAGCTTCCTCGACCTTCCAGGAGTTCCAAAGGGCATATTCAAACAGTTGCTAGCCAGGGAAGTGAGGGAAGGCAGGAAGAAACAATAGTGCAGCAAGGGGCCTGGTGCTGTTTCTCCTCAGGTGATGCGCCTAGTAGTTTGTACATACCTTTATTTCTTCAGCAGGAACTAGGACCGCCTCAGCCCAGACGGAGGAGGTCACTTCAGGCTGAGCACAAGCAAGCGGACCCACACTGATTAGAAAGGCTGATGGCTGAGATGGCTGGAACACAACCCTGTTATCTCACCACCAACCAGTCAGAGGAATGTTCCACATGCTGCCGCCCTTGTCCCTGAATTTTACCTATAAAAACTCGTCCCCTAAAACTATCAGTGAGCTTGGGGCTTTTGAACATTAGCTGTTGGTTCTTCTTGGCCCTTACAATAAACCTTTCTCTGCTCCAAACTCTTAAGTTTCTACTCTGAGTCGGACACAGGAACTTGGGTTCGAGAACAGAATCAATAGACACGAGCCTGCATACTTTCCCTCACAGGATTTACTTTGCTTTGTGACATTGAAAGCTTTAGGCCATCACAAAAGGAAGGAGAGAAGTTTTTTTTTTTTTCTTTGTTCTTGAATCATGCCAGTTTCTTGCCAATATCTTTTCTCCAAGCTGTGGTTTTTTGTTTGTTTGTTTAGTCACTGCTGTAAAAGAAATATAGAAAAATAGAAATGCTACATTTTATAAGTTGTTAATAAAAGCTTTCTAATTTCACTTCACAGCTACATGCATATCAATTAAATAGTATACAAAGGCAATTTATACTGTCACAGTTTATGTCTGTGCTCCATACAATTTGCAAACCCAAATGTTTTTTGTTTCTTTTCATTTTTCTCCCCTAAATGATCTGTGATAGGCATGTTAGAAGGCAATGGTATAAACTAGTGTTAATATATGTCTCATTTACACAAGTTTTATATGAGTCAAAGAAAATCATGAACAATACTACATGTGAAGAGGGAATAATAATCATTATTACTAATAATGATTATTTTCTCCGTTTTTATATACAGAGGAAGAGAACTTCCAATAGTCCTCTGTGCCTCTCTGACAGGTGTCCCACACACATATCTTCAAAACGAATTCTTTTTTACTCCCTTCTACTTCATCACTCCAACACCAAACTGGTTCTCACCTGCTATACATTACATCAATAGTAAAAGATATCATTATCCATTGTGTCAGACTGTCTAAGTCTTTGTAGATTTCTTTTATTCTAAACCAGATACATCCAGCCAGTCAGCACTTCAACCAGCTCTACTCCTGTTAGGTCTCTCAACACTTCGCTATTCTTTCCGTCTTATCCAGTCCTGCCTTCTTCACAATTTTACTGTTCATTTTGTTAAATTATTCTCCATTCTGACTAAATCTGACTGCATTTTCTCCTAATTTATCCCAGTGAAACTTGTAAAAAGCAGACCATATCATGCTAAATCCTCCTTTACCACGTCAAAAATACTTCAACTACATTCCTATTCACATAAATGAGAAAATGTAACCTTTCTTTCATGGCATATCAGACACCTGTCTTGGCTCATGATTACCTATGCAAATTTTCTCTTTTGTAATCCACAAGCTGTAAAGTAATTTTAAAAAATATCTTAAGAGTGTACATTTAGGAACAGAGAGCTCTGGGTTAACTATGTAGCCTTGCTGTCTTCCTGCTCTAAAAGCAATGAACATCACTTAAGCACTGTTTCTTATACTCTACATCCAAACTGTCAACTCCTATTGGTTCACATTCAAAATGTATTCCTAAGACCATCTTTACTATCCTTGGTGTGAGGTAACATCCTTTATCTCCTGGATCAGTCCTGAGGTTTTTATTTTTTATTTTCTTTTCATTAGATCATTCACGTGCTTGAAAAGCTCCTACCCGGGTGCATGCATGGATAGCCCTGCCAGCTCGATACCTGGGTGAGAGAGAGGTGGTTCACAGCTGCAGTGGAGCTGTGAATCTACCCATGGGAAGCTCTCTCTTTGCCTGTGGGAAAGCCTGAATACCTGGCTTCTCTTTTGGCTGAGATAAGGCCAGTTGGACTTATGATGGACTGTTTACAATTTAGAATAAGGAACTTTGTGCTGAGGTGTCTCTCTGGCCCCAGTGTACGCCTGTATTCCTCTGCTGTTGCCTTGCATCCAAATAAAAGCCTTCTGTGAGTTGACTCAGGTGACTCCTTTCAAACATCTAAACTGCAGAATTATTTGTACCTCCCTTCAATTCATCACTGACACATCACTTGCTCAACAGGGCCCACTCAGTCAGCCATATTTAAAATTGCTCCCCAGTTCCTCCTTCTCTCATCTTTTCCATATAATGAATTACCTTTCAGCACACTTTACAATCAACTTATAAAATATGTTTATGGAATGAATGTATCAAATTCTGGAGGCAGGTCCTTAATATGACCATAAAGTACAGCTGGCAGTAGAAGACTGTGAGAAACAGGGAAAAAAATGCAAATGAAAGCATGAGATTGAAGCTATGACTTAAGAGTTGGAAAAACAATCCAGGAGATGGAGAACTCAGTGTATCACTCTAGGAGAAAATGAGTGAAGTTGTGTGGAGGTGAGGAGTGCAGGTCAGCATCATGACAAAACGACGATTGTAGGACATGAGAAGAAGACAGCCAAGGGCCAAAATCGTCACCTAAGATGTGGGCTTTTAATAACTTGCTGAGAGAAGAGGTAGAGGCTACTCTAGGCAGAAATAAGAGTACTTTACATTGAGGCTACAAGTTATAAATATTTTCTTTGGTGGCAGAAAAGGAAATAGAGATCCACTGACTTTATTCTCCATCATAGTCACATATGGCAGGTAAGTAAGGAGACGAACTTGTGATCTCATTCTTAGAAGAGTTTCTGATTTTTTTCATTTACTCCAAGTGATGTCTAATATGTGAAATATATCATGATTTCTTTATGCATTTGATTTAGGAATATGAACACAATATACCAAAGCCTTTGTTATCTCATCTTATAAAGAATTATTCTTCTGCCTTGGAGAGTGAGTGCATTTTAGCATTTGCCTGGCATCTACTGGGTCCTCAATAAATGTAAATACCATTCCCATCCCCAGTCTTATATCAGAAAATATGTGGCAAAGTTGTAGAGTTCTTAAGAGTTTCAGGACTTTGCTGGTGGCTCAGATGGTAAAGAATCCACCTGTAATGCAGGAGACCTGGGCTCAATCCCTGGGTAGGGAATACCCTGGAGAAGGAAATGGCTACTCCTCCCAATATTCTTGCCTGGGGATTTCCAAGGACACAGGAGCCTGGCAGACTACAGTCCATGGGGTTGCAAAGAGTTGGACACAACTGAGTGACTAACACTTTCCCTTTAAGAGTCTCAACCCTGGAGTCTGATTATCTTAAACTCAAAAACTTACTACCATTCTATACACGTGGGGAATTACTTACATTCTTTATATCTGTTTTCTTATTTCTAAACTAAAGAGACCAATACCCAGGGAGTTAATGAGGAAGAAATACAAGTGTTGGGAGACAATGTATATAAAACTCTCATTTAGACAATTTGTTAACACAGATTGGTGTCTTAAATACACCAAACAAATACATGATTACTCATAAATATTTTAAGAATGCACTTAAAATCTCTTTAAAGTCATTTCTTTTTACAAAACTTGTGGCTAATGAATCTGGATAATGTGAGGTAACATGAAATGTTTCTATAGAAGTATAAAGTAATAACACCAAATGCTTTGTTTTAGTCTTTCTTTTAGTATATGATAGTAACAACTGGATATCAAAATGATGAAATAATTGGAAACAATAAATGGAAATACTATATTTCCTATACTGAAGTACTGTTAAAATATGTTTTAAAATATTTAATGAATTATATCATTTTGCCAATAATTTGCTTATTTTACTTCACCTTTACCTGTAAGACTGACTGCTGTTACTACTGCTGATTTCTGATGGAGATCTGAATGAAAGAAATAGAATTATTTTAAAGTTAGGAAGATATACTCCTAAGTATTTTATTCTTTTTGTTGCAGTGGTGAATGGTATTGTTTCCTTAATTTCTCTTTCTGTTTTCTCATTGTTAGTGTATAGGAATGCAAGGGATTTCTGTGTAATATCAAAATGATGAAATAATTGGAAACAATAAATAGAAATACTATATTTCCTATACTGAAGTACTGTTAAAATATTTTTTAAATATTTAATGAATTATATCATTTTATTAATAATTTGATTATTTTACTTCACCTTTACCTGTAAGGCTGATTGCTGTTACTACTGCTGATTTCTGATGGAGATCTGTATGAAAGAAATAGAATTGTTTTAAGGTTAGGAAGCACTGTAATCTTAAATAGACTCAAGAAAACAAAAACAGCTAGACTTTTACTAATTACTCAGTTAATATGTACCAACATCCACTTTTCTTCCTATATCCCATTCAGGGATCATATATTCTACTGGTGTATATTTGCCAAAGGTAGCCTAACTTTTAAACATGTTAAACTTATTTTTGTGAATAATTTAAAGAATTATCTGAATCATTATTTACTTTTCCAATTCATAAACATGGTATGTCTTTGCATCTCTTTCTGTTTTCTTCAATTTCTTTCATCAGCATCTTATAGTCTAAGGAGTATAGGTCATTTTTCTCCTTAGATAGGTTTATTCTTAGGTATTTTATTTTTGTGACATGATAGTCAATTAAATTTTTTCTTCAATTTTTCTTTCTGATCTTTCATTGTTAGTGTATATAAATGCAAGAGACTTCTATGTATTAATTTTGTAACTTGCAACTTCAACAAATTCATTGATGAGCTCTAGTAGTTTTCTGGTAGCATCTTTAAGATCTTCTATGTAGAGTATCAGGTCATCTGCAAACAGTGACAGTTTAACTTCTTGCTTTCCAATTAGGATTCCCTTTATTTCTTTTTCTTCTCTGATTGCCATAGCTAGAACTTCCAAAACTGTTGAATAAAAGTGGTGACAGTGGACATCCTTGTCTTCTTCCTGATCTTAGAGGAAAGGCTTTCAGCTTTTAACCATTGAGTATGATGTTAGCTGTAGGTTTTTCATATATGGTCTTTATTATTTTGAGATATGTTCCCTCTATCCCCACTTTCTGGAGAGTTTTTCTCATAAATGGTGTTGAGTTTGTCAAAAGCTTTTGTGGCATATATTGAGATGATCATATGGCTTTATTATTCACTTTGTTAGTGTGGTACTTCACACTGATTGATTTGCAGATATTTTTCCTTGTAGCACTATTTACAACAGCAAAGATATGGATACAACCTAAGTATCCATCAACAGAAGAATGGATAAAGAAAATGTGGAACATATATACAATGGATATTTTACTCAGCCATCAAAAAGAAAGAAATTAAGCAATTTGCAGCATTTTGGATGGACCTAGAGATTGTCATCTTATGTGAAGTAAGTCAGACAGAGAAGGAAAAATATTGTATGGCATCCTTTAAGTTCAGTGTCTAAATGAACTCATTTACAAACAGAAACAGTCTTATAGACTTAGAGAGCAAACTTATGGCTTCCAGGGGGGAAGGATGAGGGGAAAGCCCAGATAGGGAATTTGGGATGTATATGTACACACTGCTGTATTTAAAATGGATAGCCCAGTAGGTCCTACTGTATAGCACATTGAGCTCTGCTCAATGTTATGTGGCAGCCTGGATGGGAGGGGAGTTTGGGGGAGAATAGACACATGCATATGTATGGCCGAGTCCCTTTGCTGTCTAGCTGAAACTATTACAACATTGTTAATCTGATATACTCCAACATAAAATAAAAAGTTAAAAACAAAATATGTTAAGCATTTTAAAAATTTCAAAATTAAGTCCATCTGTTACTCTTCTCTACATTATCAGCATGGAAGACAAGATGAAATATTAAAATATCTATGATAATGCTTCTCCAAAGTTAAAGACAATTTACACATGAATTCTTAAGTTATCATGACTTTGATTATATTATTTCTATCAAACAACTATGTGAATAGCTATCTCACTTCTGCTAATGAGCTCCTTACTGAGGCCTCCCTTTCAGTTATGTCTGTTTACACTTTGTAGTATTCACACAGCCTCCATTTTTCCTTTGGCTCCTATACACTCAGTTCTTGTTGAAGAGTAATATTATGGTGTAAAGTTTCCTTATAATGGCTACAATTCTTTGGCTACAGATGGTAAAAATCAGGTTACAACATCTAACTTGGGATTATAAATCCTGACAGGACACTTGTTTAAATTAGATATACTTGCATAGCTATTTATTTCTGTCTCTTGATGTCTCTTACCTAAATGATAAACTGGAAAGTTCTGAAAGAGATGGGAATACCAGACCACCTGATCTGCCTCTTGAGAAACCTATATGCAGGTTAGGAAGCAACAGCTAGAACTGGACATGGAACAACAGACTGGTTCCAAATAGGAAAAGGAGTACGTCAAGGCTGTATATTGTCACCCTGCTTATTTAACTCATATGTGGAGTACATCATGAGAAACACTGGGCTGGAAGAAGCACAAACTGGAATCAAGTTTGCCTGGAGAAATAGCAATAACCTCAGATAGGCAGATGGCACCACCCTTATGGCAGAAAGTGAAGAAGAACTAAAGGGCCTCTCAGTGAAAGTGAATGAGGAGAGTGAAGAAGTTGGCTTAAAGCTCAGCATTCAGAAAACTAAGATCATGGCATCTGGTCCCATCACTTCATGGGAAATAGATGGGGAAACAGTGGAAACAGTGTCAGACTTTACTTTTTGGGGCTCCAAAATCACTGCAGATGATGATTGTAGCCATGAAATTAAAAGACACTTACTGCTTGGAAGGAAATTTATGACCAACCTAGACAGCATATTAAAAAGGAGAGACATTACTTTGCCAGCAAAGGTCCATCTAGTGAAGGCTTTGGTTTTTCCAGTAGTCATATATGGATGTGAGATTTGGACTATGCAGAAANTCAAAAATATACAAGCAACTCCTCCAGCTCAACTCCAGAAAAATAAATGACCCAATCAAAAAATGGGCCAAAGAACTAAACAGACATTTCTCCAAGGAAGACATACAGATGGCTAACAAACACATGAAAAAGATGCTCAACATCACTCATTATCAGAGAAATGCAAATCAAAACCACAATGAGGTACCATTACACGCCAGTCAGGATGGCTGCTATCCAAAAGTCTACAAGCAATAATGCTGGAGAGGGTGTGGAGAAAAGGGAACACTTTTACAGTGTTGGTGGGAATGCAAACTAGTACAGCCATTGTGGAGAACAGTGTGGAGATTCCTTAAAACCTGGAAATAGAACTGTCATATGACTCCTGGGCATACACAGAGAGGAAACCAGATCTGAAAGAGACACGTGCACCCCAGTGTTCATCGCAGCACTGTTTATAATAGCAAGGACATGGAAGCAACCTAGATGCCCATCAGCAGAAGAATGGATAAGAAAGCTGTGGTACATATGCACTATAGAATATTACTCAGCCATTAAAAAGAATATATTTGAATCAGTTCTAATGAGATGGATAAAACTGGAGCCCTTTATACAAAGTGAAGTAAGCCAGAAAGACAAAGACCAATACAGTATACTAACACACATATAAAGAATTTAGAAAGATGGTAATGATAACCCTATATACAAGACAGAAAAAGAGACACAGATGTATAGAACAGACTTTTGGACTCTATGGGAGAAGGCGAGGGTGGGATTATCTTTGAGAATAGCATTGAAACATATATATTATCAAGTGTGAAACAGATTGCCAGTCCAGGTTGGATGCATGAGAGAAGTGTTCCTGGCTGGTGCACTGGGATGACCCAGAGGGATGGGATGGGGAGCGAGGTGGGAAGGGGGTTTAGGATGGGGAACACATGTAAATTCATGGCTGATTCATGTCAATGTAGGGCAAAGACCACTACAATATTATAAAGTAATTAGCCTCCAACTAATAAAAATAAATGGAAAAAATAAATTTAGGGAACATTGTAATCTTAAATAAACACAAGAAAACAAAAACAGATAGACTTTTACTAATTACTCAGTTAAATGTACCAATGTTCATTTTTCTTCCTATATCCCATTCAGGGATCATATATCCTACTGGTGTATATTTAACAATGGTAGCCTAACTTTTAACTATGTTAAACATATTTTTGTGAAATATTTAAAGAATTATCTAAATAATTATTGAATTTCCCAATTGAAAAACATGGTATGTCTTTGCATCTGTTTCCACTGTTTCCCCATCTATTTGCCATGAAGTGATGGGACCAGATGCCATGATCTTAGTTTTCTGAACGTTGAGCTTTAAGCCAACTTTTTCACTCTCCTCTTTCACTTTTATCAAGAAGCTCCTTAGTTCTTAACTTTCTGCCACAGGGCAGAAACCTCCTATCTGAGGTTATTGATATTTCTCCCAGCAATCTTGATTCCAGCTTGTGCTTCATCCAGCCCAGCATTTCTCAGGATGTACTCTGTATGTAAATTAAATAAGCAGGGTGACAATATACAACCTTGATATATTCCTATTCCTGTTTGGAATCAGTTTGTTGTTCCATGTTCAGTTCTAACTGTTGATTCCTGACCTGCATACAGGTTTCTCAAGAGGCAGATCAGGTGGTCTGGTATTCTCATCACTTTAAGAATTTTCCACACTTTATTGTGATCCATACAGTCAAAGGCTTTGGCATAGTCAATAAGGCAGAAATAGATTTTTTTCTGGAACTCTTTGACATTCCAGCATATTCTAGTTTCTTGGCACTACCAAATGTCAAGACAAGGAAAATGGGGTTGCTTAGGAAGTAGACAGAACCCTCCAAAGCAATTATCGCCAACATGACTTTCTACTAGAAAGATACTGAGGATTCACTGAGTAAATTCAGTTGTTCCTGGGCCTGTATGGACATGAAGGATACCCATGTGCCTAAAGTTTGAAAAAAAGATCTGGTATATTTCTACACATTTGGTAGATTTATAAGCATTATAAGTGACTTATAAGCCACCATTTGGTGGCTCAAATGGTAAAGAATCTGCCTGCAGTGCAGGAGTGAACGTGAAAGTCGCTCAGTCAGGTCCTACACTTTGCGACCCCATGGCCTATACAGTTCATGGAATTTTTCCAGGCCAGAGTACTGGAGTGGGTAGCCTTTCCCTTCTCCAGGGGATCTTCCCAACCCAGGGATCAAACCCAGGTCTCCCACATTGCAGGCAGATTCTTTACCAGCTGAGCCACAAGTGAAGCCCTTGGTGCTGGAGACTCCTGTTCAGTTCCCTGGGGTGGGAATATACCCTGTAGGAGGGCATGGCAACTCACTCCAGTATTCCTGCCAGGAGAATCCCCATGGAAACAGGAGCCTGGCGGGCTACAGTCCATGGGGTCACAAAGAATCAGACACGATTGAGAGACTAACAATTTTACTTGTAAGAGTTTCAACCCTGGCGTCTGATTATCTCAAACTCAAAAACTTACTACCATTCTATACACGTGGGGAATTACTTACATTTTTTTTTATATCTGTTTTCTCATTTCTAAACAAAGATGACTAATACCCAGGTAGTTAATGAGGCAGCAGTACAAGTGTTGGGAGACAATGTGTATAATACTCTCATTTAGACAATTTGTTAACACAGATTGGTGTCTTAAATACACCAAATACATGATTGCTCATAAATATTTCAAGAATGCACTTAAAATCTCTTTAAAGTCATTTCTTTTTACAAAAATTGTGACTAATGAATCTGGATAATGTGAGGTAACATGAAATGTTTCTATAGAAGTATAAAGTAATAACACCAAATGCTTTGTTTTAGTCTTTCTTTTAGTATATGATAGTAATGAATAGATATCAAAATGATGAAATAATTGGAAACAATAAATAGAAATACTATATTTCCTATACTGAAGTATTGTTAAAATATGTTTTAAAATATTTAATGAATTATATCATTTTGCCAATAATTTGATTATTTTACTTCACCTTTACCTGTAAGACTGACTGCTGTTATTACTGCCGATTTCTGATGGAGATCTGTATGAAAGAAATAGAATTGTTTTAAGGTTAGGAAACACAGTAACCTTAAATTCAAGAAAACAAAAACAGATAGACTTTTATTATTTACTCAGTTAATATGTACCAATATCCACTTTTCTCCCTATATCCCATTTAGGGATCATATATCCTGCGGTGTATATTTACCAATGGTAGCCTAACTTTTAAAAATGCTAAACTTATTTTTGTGAATGATTTAAAGAATTATCTAAAATTATTTTTTTTACATGAAACTTCCCAATTTTCCTAGCACCAGTTTTTGAAGAGACTGTATATTATATAGAGACATTGTATATTTTTGCTTCTTTTGTTGTAGATTATTTGACCATAGGTGCATGGGTTTATTTCAAGGCTTTCTATCCTGTTCCACTGATCTGTATTTCCATGCCAGTACCATACTGTTTTGGTGACTATAGCTTTGTAGTATAATCTGAAGTCAGGGAGGCTGATTTCTCCAGCTCCATTTTTCTTTCTCAAGATTGCTTTGGCTATTTGGAGTCTTTTGTGTCTCTATACAAATTTTAAGGTTTTCTTGTTTTAGTTCTGAAAAATTCCACAGAAAATTTGATAGAGATTGCACAGAATCTATACATTGCCTTAGGTAGTATATTCATTTTGACATATTGACTTTTCCAACTGATAAATATGGTTATGTCTTTGCATCTGTTTCTGTTTTCTTCAATTTCTTTCATCAGCATCTTATAGTTTAAGGAATATAGGTCATTTATCTCCTTAGATAGGTTTATTCTTAGGTATTTTACTTTAGTGATGTGATAGTCAATGAAGTTGTTTCTTGAAATTTTCTTTCTGATCTTTTTTTTTTTTTTTCTTACTTTCAAATGCATAAAATTTGTTTTCTTTTTTTTTTTTTTATTTTTCCCATTTATTTTTATTAGTTGTAGGCTAATTACTTTACAGCATTGCAGTGGTTTTTATCATACATTGAACTAGCCATGGATTTACATGTACCTTTGACGACAATGGGCTGCTTTTCTGGGCGCCTGATGTCCTCTGCTAGCGATCAGAAGTTGTTTCGTGAAATTTGCTCAGCGTTCAAATGTTCTTTCGATGAATTTGTAGGGGAGAAAGTGTTCTCCCCGTCCTATTCCTCCGCCATCTTGGCTCCTCCCCTCTTTCTGATCTTTCATTGTTAGTGTATATAAATGCAAGAGATTTCTGTGTATTAGTTTCATAACTTGGAACTTTAACAAATTCATTGATGAGCTCTAGTAGTTTTGTCATAGCATCTTTAAGATCTTCTATGAAGAGCATCAGGTCATCTGCAAACAGCGACAGTTTAACTTCTTGCTTTACAATTAGGATTCCCTTTATTTCTTTTTCTTCTCTGATTGCCATAGCTAGAACTTCTGAAACTATTGAATAAAAGTGGTGACCTGGACATCCTTTTCTTCTTCCTGATCTTAGAGGAAAGGCTTTCAGCTTTTAACCATTGCGTATGATGTTAGCTGTAGGTTTGTCATATATGGCATTTATTATTTTGAGATATGTTCCCTCTATCCCCACTTTCTGGAGAGTTTTATCATAAATGGTGTTGGTCTGTCAAAAGCTTTTGTGGCATATACTGAGATGATCATATGGCTTTTATTCTTCACTTTGTTAATGTGGTACATCACACTGATTGATTAGCAGATATTTTTCTTTGTAGCACTATTTGCAACAGCAAAGATATGGGTACAACCTAAATATCCATCAACAGAAGAATAGATAAAGAAAATGTGGAACATACATACAATGGAATATTTTACTCAGCCATCAAAAAGAAAGAAATTAAACAATTTGCAGCATATTGGATGGACCTAGAGATTATCATCTTATGTGAAGTAAGTCAGACAGAGAAGGAAAAATATTGTATGACATCCTTTAAGTTCAGCGTCTAAATGAACTCATTTACAAACAGAAACAGACTTACAGGTTTAGAGAGTGAACTTATGGCTTCCATGGGGGGAAGGATGAGGGGAAAGCCTAGATAGGGAGTTTGGGATGGATATGTACACACTGCTGTATTTAAAATGAATAACCATGTAGGCCCTACTGTATAGTACATTGAGCTCTGCTCAATGTGATGTGGCAGCCTGGATGGGAGGGGAGTTTGGGGGAGAATAGACACATGCATATGTGTGGCCGAGTCCCTTTGCTGTCTAGCTGAAACTGTTACAACATTGTTAATCTGCTATACTCCAACATAAAATAAGAAATTGAAAACTAAATATGTTAAGCAGTTTAAAAATTTCAAACTTAAGTCCTTCTATTACATTTCTCTATGTTATCTACATGGAAGATGGATTGAAATATTAAAATATCTATGATAATGCTTTTCCAAAGTTAAAGACAATTTACCCATGAATTCTTAAGTTATCATGACTTTGATTATAGTATTTCTATCAAATAACTATGTGAATAGTTATCTCACTTCTGTTAATGAGCTCCTTACTGAGGCCTCTCTTTCAGTTATGTCTGTTTACACTTTGTGGTATTCACACAGCCTCCATTTTTCCTTTGGCTCCTATACACACTCAGTTCTTGTTGAAGAGTAATATTATGGTGTAAAGTTTCCTTGTAATGGCTACAATTCTTTGACTCAGATGGTAAAAATCAGGTTTGAACATCTAACTTGGGATTATAAATCCTGGCAAGACACTTGTTTAGATTAGATACACTTGCACAGCTATTTCTCTCTGTCTCGTGATGTCTCTTAACTAACAGGTACTGGTTTTGAGAGACTACTAGGAGTTTTGCTTGAAAATGAAACTAGAATGGTTGAGAGTGGTACTCTGGGCCATGTGTAAGCAGAGCAGTTATTTTGGAGAGATGGACATAGACAAGAAGAGATGATGTCAATCATAAAAGCCTTTGGGTGATGGAGAGAATGACCAGGTTCACAAGCATCCGGTTCCTTACCACCCTTTTGTGTTTCAGCCCTACATCATGTCCTGCCCTTGTAGCCTTGAAACAATTGACTGATGCTCTTAAAACTTAGGCAGATTTTGTTATTTATGGTCAGTGATATCTAAGTATACCACTTCTCTAGAAGTCAGGTTCATCTTTGCAACTATTCAGATTTTTCGTAGGTGTCTTAAATAAGAGCCCAGGAAGACTTATGCCAATTATCATTCAACAAAATCAATTTATGACAATTGAATGATTATATAAATGTCCATATGAATCATGCAGAATACTGCCCTGAATTTATTGGTTGCTGCTAACATGTTCAAAACTAAGATTAACTTACTTGGTAATCAGAGGTGCTGATAGAAATTTTATAACATTTTATCTCTGATAAACATATGAGAAACAAAAATGATTTACTTTACAATGAAGAAACGAGATCCCTTCTTTATACTTACTTCTGCATTCTCAACTTCCTAAATATTTACTAAGGTAGTTGTGAACTATATTTGTGCTACAGTAAAGAAAAAGCTGTATGAATGTGAAATAAGATCAGACAGAGAAAGACAATGTTCGATCCCATTTATATGTAGATCTAAAAAAACCAAAACAAACAAAAACCTCACAGATACAGAGAATAGATTGGTGGTTGCCATATGTAATGGGTTGGAGTGGGGATGAGCAAAACGGGTAAATAAGTTCAAAAGGTACAACTTCTAATTAAAAAATAAATGTCATGGGGATGTAATGGACAGCATGCTGACTATAGTCAATAATAACTAACTGCATATATGAAACTTTCTAAAAGAGCAGATCTTAAAAGACCTCATCAGGAGGAAAACCAAAATTTACAGCTGTGTAACAAATGTTAACTAGACTTACTATGATCATTTTACATTATATAAAAAGTATTATGCACATGAAGCTAATATCATATATGGTAATTATACCTCATTTTCAAAAAAGAATTAAATTCTGTTCTGAGAAACAGAAAAACTGAGCAAGTACCTTAACTCTAATTTCAGAGACACATGAGCAATATTAATTTCGTGTAACATAGGCCATGTCCTTCATATATGCTTTCCCTCACGCTTTGCGATCTTATATTTTCTCACCTTCCCCATATTCTTAGGTGCCCCATCTCTATTCATCATCATTCAGTTTAGTTTAGCCACTCAGTCGTGTTTGAATCTTTGTGACCCCATGGACTGCAGCATGCCAGGTTTCCCTGTCCATCACCAATTCCAATTCATCGTCACTGGCCCCATATATGCTATGCTGACCTATCTCTATTCATCATTCAGTTCAGTTCAGTTCAGTCGCTCAGTCATGTCTGACTCTATGCGACCTCATGAACCACAGCACACCAGGCCTCCCTGTCCATCACCAATTCCCGGGATTTACCCAAACTCATGTCCATTGAGTCGGTGATGCCATCCAACTATCTCATTCTCTGTCGTCCCCTTCTCCTCCCATCTCCAATTTTTCCCAGCATCAGGATCTTTTCAAATACATCAGCTCTTTGCATTAGGTGGCCAGTGTATTGGAGCTTCAGCTTCAATATCAGTCTTTCAAATGAACACCCAGGACTGATCTCCTTTAGGATGGACTGGTTGGATCTCCTTGCAGTCCAAGGGACTCTCAAGAGTCCTCTCCAACACCACAGTTCTAAAGCATCAATTCTTTGGCTCTCAGATTTCTTTATAGTCCAACTCTCACATCCACATATGACTACTGGGAAAACCATAGCTTTACTAGATAGACTTTTGTTGACAAAGCAATGTCTCTTCTTTTTAATATGTTGTCTATGTTGGTCATAACTTTCCTTCAAAGGAGCAAGTGTCTTTTAATTTCATGGCTGCAATCAGTATCTGCAGTGATTCTGGAGCCCAGAAAAATTAAGTTAGCCAGTGTTTCCACTGTTCCTCCATCTATTTGCTATGATGTGATGGGACCAGATGCCCCGATCTTAGTTTTCTGAATGTTGAGATTTAAGCCTACTTTTTCACTCTCCTCTTTCACTTTCATCAAGAAGCTCTTTAGTTCTTCTTCACTTTCTACCATAATGGTGGTGTCATCCGCATCAATGAGGTTATTGATATTTCTCCTGGCAATCTTAATTCCAGCTTGTGCTTCATCCAGCCCAGCATTTCTCAGGATGTACTCTGCAGGGTGACAATATACAACCTTGATGTACTCCTATTCCTGTTTAGAACCAGTCTGTTGTTCCATATTCTGTTCTAACTGTTGCTTCCTGACCTGCATACAAATTTCTCAAGATGCAGGTCAGGTGGTCTGGCATTCCCATCACTTTAAGAATTTTCCACACTTTATTGTGATCCATACAGTCAAAGGTTTTGGCATAGTCAATAAGGCAGAAATAGATTTTTTTCTGGAACTCTTTGATGTTCCAGCATAATCTAGCTTCTTGGCACCACCAAATGTCAAGACAAGGAAAATGGGGTTGCCTAAGAAATAGATGGAACCATCTAAAGCATTTATAGCCAACATGGCTTTCTACTAGAAAGATACTGAGGACTTTCTGAGTAAATTCAGTTGTTCCTGGGCCTGTATGGACATGAAGGATACCCATGTGCCTAAAGTTTGAAAAAAAGATCTGGTATATTTCTACACATTTGGTAGATTTATAAGCATTATAAGTGACTTATAAGCCACCATTTGGTGGCTCAAATGGTAAAGAATCTGCCTGCAGTGCAGGAGTGAACGTGAAAGTCGCTCAGTCAGGTCCTACACTTTGCGACCCCATGGCCTATACAGTTCATGGAATTTTTCCAGGCCAGAGTACTGGAGTGGGTAGCCTTTCCCTTCTCCAGGGGATCTTCCCAACCCAGGGATCAAACCCAGGTCTCCCACATTGCAGGCAGATTCTTTACCAGCTGAGCCACAAGTGAAGCCCTTGGTGCTGGAGACTCCTGTTCAGTTCCCTGGGGTGGGAATATACCCTGTAGGAGGGCATGGCAACTCACTCCAGTATTCCTGCCAGGAGAATCCCCATGGAAACAGGAGCCTGGCGGGCTACAGTCCATGGGGTCACAAAGAGTGGGACACTACTGGGAGACTAAGAACACAGACACACAGGCATAACAAAAACACAAGCATTAAGCCAATCCATACAAGTCCATATTTATAACCTTCTGAATAACGTTTGAATTTTCTCATAAAGCCTTTCAAATATTAAATATTTAAAAAGTGTTTACTTACTCCCCACTTATTGTTCCCTGTTTGTTCCAGAATATCTTCATTTTCTTCCATTTAAGAGCAATGATAGCAGTTAAAATGAAGAAAGGCAAGAAAACGTAGAAACTGATCATGAGGTTGTTTTTTTGAGAGACACCACGTCGTTTTATCAAGTCTGTAATTTTAGCTGAAGACATAACAATATCTTTTAACTTTTGAAAGGTGATATAAATCATTTTAGTAATTTGAATTATAAACATTTGGAATTCAAATAATATAATCATAAAATAAATCATAAAAATGCTTTCCAAACTTCTGTGACTGTACCCCAAAGTGCATTATATATTTCTTTTAAATATATACAATTTAATCTTCATATGCATATTTAATATTTATGTGATACATTCTAACATATTTCATTCTATCATACTGTCATATTCCTATCATATTGCACTGCTACTTAGAATATATTAGGTTGATATTACCATCTAACAGATTCCTCTATTTAAAAAATAGAGCCAAAAAAATAAAAAGGGCTCCCCTGGAAAAAGGAATGGCTACCCACTCCAGTATTCTTGCCTGGGAAATCCCATGGACACAGGAGTCTGGGAGGCTCCATAGGGTTGCAAAAAGTCAGACATGACTTAGCAACTAACACTAACACTCTCACTCTCTGCGTGGATTTTCTAGTTCCAAGTCACCCTTTGGGGAACTGCTTCATTTTGCACTGCTTTGTGTAAAATTAAAGACTGATATTTAAGACCAAAAAGAGAAATATTTTAAAAATTAGTTAGTGAAAACTACAGATATAACTGAGGCTAATTAAAAAGAAACAGTAATAGTAGATGAGGTTACATTTACATAACAAATGTATAAGTGATATTGTTTTAATTTTGATTGCATTAATTAATAAAGTTGATATTCCTCTTGGTATTATAGATATTGCATAAAACTAGAAAAGTAAATCTATCGCCAATTGGTCCAAATAAGCAAAAGGAATAAACCAGAAAATTAAAATAAAAAAATATAAATCAATCAATCAGAATTACCACCAAACCAATTATGATGATATTGTGTGTATTCGTGGGCATGCTCAGTCACTCCATTGTCTAAATCTTTGTGACCCCATGGACTGTAGCCTGCCAGGTTCTTTTGTCCATTGAATTTTTCAGAGAAGAATGCTGGAGTGGGTTGCCATTCCCTTCTCAGTGGATCTTCCCCTCTCACAGATTGAACCCACCTCTCTTGCATCTCCTGCATTGGCAGGTGGATTCTTTACCACTGCAGCACTTCATGATATTAAGTGTAAACAAATTTAATGACCTCTCAAAATGAGAAAAGAATCTGTGCCACTGAAACACAGGTACGATCCAATTATATGTTGTTTCAAAATAATTTACAAAGCTGCCGTATATCACAGAGAGCTCAGCTCAGGCCTCTGTGATGACCTAGAGGGGTGGAGATGAGAGGGAAGGGATATATGTATACTTCTAGCTGACCCATGTTGTGCAGTAGAAACTAACACAACATTGGAAAGCAATTATACTCCAATTAAAAAATAAATTTAAAAACATCTGGTTTTCAATAACTTTTGTATATGGATCCAAACTTTATTTTCCCTTGTGTAGCATGACATTTTAAATACTAGCCTTGCAATATTAAAAGAAGCAAAACAAAAACAAAACAACAAACTTCTAATGTATATGCAGAGTTCATCATGCAAAATGCTTGGCTGGATGAATCACAAGTTGGAATCAAGAATCTCTCTCGCTGGAGGAAATATCAACAACCTCACCTACGCAGATGATACCACTGCCAACAGCAGAAAGTGAAGAGGAATTAAAGAACCTCTTGATGCGACTGAAGAGGAGAGTGAAAAAGTTGGCTGAAAGCTCAACATTCAGAAAACTAAGATCCTGGCATCTGGGCCTATCACTTCATGCCAAACAGAAGGGGAAAAAGTGGTAACAGTGACAGATTTTCTTTCTTTGGGCTCCAAAATTACTGGGGATGGTGGCAGCAGCCATGAGATTAAAAGTTACTTGATCCTTGTAAGGAGAGTTATGACACACCTAGACAGGCTATTAAAAAGCACAGACATCAATTTGTGGACAAAGGTGCATCTAGTCAAGACAATTTTTTTTCCAGTAGTCATGTACGGATATGAGAGTTGGACCATAAAGATGGCTGAGTGCTGAAGAATTGATGCTTTCAAGTTGTGGTGCTGGCGGAGACTCTTGAGAGTCCCTTGGACAGCAAGGAGATCAAACCAGTCAATCCGAAAGGAAATCAACCCTGAATATTCACTGGAAGGATTGGTACTAAAGTTGCAATACTTTGGCCACCTGATGTCAAGAGCCTGCTCATTGGAAAAGACCCTGATGCTGGGAAAGATTGAAGGCAAGAGGAGAAGGGGGCGACAAAAGATGAGATGGTTGGATGTCATTACTGACTCAGTGGAAGCCTGGCAGTGATAGAGCTGATGGGATCGCCTAAGAGTCAAATGTAACTTAGTGACTGAACAGCAACAAATCTAGAAAACTGCTGTATAAATAAAAAAATCTGGGAAACCATGGTTAAAATTAACATGACACATTAAAATGTTCATGGCTAGATTTGGATTAAAAGCACATACAAAATTTTGATTGACAACATAATCTATAGCTGTGCTATACATAATAGCACTACAAAGTGACCGCTTATATGTCATTAGGTAAAATAAAATGAAAATGTTAGTTCCTAAATTGCATTCTCCACATGTCCAGTGATTAACAGCCATATAGACAGTGGGGCTGTAAGGATACAGAAGGCTCTGTTGGAGCAGTGATTTAGTTACTAACCTTTCCCAGCTTCTATATTCCAAAATCCATCATCAACACTTCCTCCTGGTGATGCGAATGTTGGCACACAATCTGGGGGTACATATCCAACATCACAGTGACAATTTAAACGAGAATTGCAAACCTGGAATGAAACCAAAATAAAGAAGAAGACCATTTTTTATGTCATATAAAAATTTAGCATTTTTTGTGTATTTATTTTTAGTATTTATCAATTTATTAGTATTTATTGTGAGCCAAAGCAAATGATTAAAGTAGTGCAATTTGGTATGTTACAGGCTGTTTTTACTTTAATGTGGAAAATAATAATAAAAATAAAATGCAATGCAAGAAATGTCCATTCAATGCTTTTTAAATGCTACAGAGGGTTTCTCTAATTTATCTCTTCAATAAAAGTAGACAACATTCTTGATACACCTGTCTCTTCTAAAAAGACAGAGAAATTATGAAGCTAAAAATTATAGCAGGAGTTGAAATTTATTATTGTGCCAGATATTTTACAAAACTGTTGTTAAGAGTCAACTTTTACAAAACATGGGGAGAAAATTAAACAGTGAAGCTTACTTATTCAGGTGCAGTTGGAAAGATTGATTTTGCTAGAAAATAGGAAGGCTAGGGGGCTTCCCTGGTAGCTCAGCTGGTAAAGAATCCACCTGCAATGCAGGAGATCCCAGTTCAATTTTTGGGTTGGGAGGATCCCCTGGAGAAGGGATAGGCTACCCACTCCAGTATTCTTGGGCATCCCTGGTAGCTCAGACATTAAAGAATTTGGCCTGCAATGCAGCAAACCCAGGTTCAATCCCTGGATTGGGAAGATCCCCTGGAGGAGGGCATGGAAACTCACTCCATTATTCTTGCCTGGATAATCCCCAAGGACAGAGGAGCCTGGCAGGCTATGGTCCATGGGGTCACAAAGAGTCGGACATGACCGAGCAACTAAGCACAGCACAGCACAGCAGAGGAAGGCTAGAATATATTTACAGATACGACCTTGTGGATGAATCAAAAGATGGGTCAGAAGCAGAATAGGGAATCTAGGGGTAAGTTCAGGCAAAATTAAATTGAAATTAAATAATAAGGGAATGGAACATAAAATAAATTGCAAATAATAAGATATGTAAATAGAGGTAAATTTTGATACAAGACACACAGGTTAATTTTTCCAGGATTACTATAAAAAGTATGAGGCATCAAGATAATGGGAGATGCTAGCTACCATTTTAAAGCTAAATGCATGCTTAGAAAATCTTAAATAGGGCACAGAATTTCTACAGTTCAAGTGATGATTTCACAATGGATAGACAAATAAAAGTGCAAATGGAAAATGTGACCAGATACACTGAAACTCTATTATTAATTAAACAAATGCAAATTAGCAATAAATTTAGCATGTGAGAAGATATTAGTAAACTAGGAAGCTCATCTGGCCTGAATTTGAAGAAATGTTTTCACTCCTGATAGGTGAAGAAAAACTGATATAATATTTCCTGAAGACATGCAATATTTATTAAAATTCAAATTATGCATATATTTGGCCCATCAGATTTCAAGGCAATCAATTTACGAAATCAAATAACTCTGCAAGGTGTTTGTAGAACAGGGTCCACTGTATCACTATTTACAATAGTTAAATAAAAATTCAACATTATCCAAAATCCATTGTGAATAACTTCAAATACAGAAAGAACCATAGAGAAAAATAAATTGAAGTCACTGATTTGAGACAGATTTCAATTGACAAGGAACTCTGCTGTCAAAAATATATTAGATTATGAGTAATGCATAATATAAATAAAGTTTGTGAGTGTTTAGTATATATCAGTTATCAGTTCAATTCAATTCACTTCAGTCACTCAGTCGTGTCCAACCCCAAGGACTGCAACACACCAGGCTTCTCTGTCCTTCAGCAATACCTGGAGCCTGCTCAAATTCATGTCCATTGAGTTGGTGATGCCATCCAACCATCTCATCCTCTGTCATCTCCTTCTCCTTCTGCCTTCAATCTATCCCAGCATCAGAGTCATGCACTCAATTAGAAGCAGTATTTATATTTATGTATAAATATATACATGTATATACTAACTGACACCAGAAAGAATGAAGAGATGGAGCCAAAGCAAAAACAACACCCAGTTGTGGATGTGACTGGTTATGGAAGTAAAGTCCGATGCTATAAAGAGTAATACTGCATAGGAACTTGGAATATTAGGTCGATGAATCAAGGCAAATTGGAAGTGGTCAAACTGGAGATGGCAAGAGTGAACGTCAACATTTTAGGAATCAGTGAACTAAAATGGACTGGAATGTGTGAATTTAACTCAGATGACCGCTCTATCTACTACTGTGGGCAGGAATCCCTTTGAAGAAGTGAAGTAGCCATCATAGTCAACAGAAGAGTCTGAAATGCAGTACTTGGGTGCAGTCTCAAAAATGACAGAACGATCTCTGTTCGTTTCCAAGGCAAACCATTCAGTATCACAGTAATTCAAGTCTGTGCCCCAACCAGTAACGCTGAAGAAGCTGAAATTGAACATTTCTATGAAGACCTACAAGATCTTCCAGAACTAACACTGAAAAAAGATGTCCTTTTCATTATAGGGGACTGGAATGCAAAAGTAAGAAGTTAAGAAATACATGGAGTAATGGGAAAATTTGGCCTTAGAATGAAACAGAAGGAAGCAGGACAAAGGCTAACAGAGTTTTGCCAAGAGAATGCACTGGTCACAGCAAACCCCCTCTTCCAACACCACAAGAGAAGACTCGACACATGGACATCACCAGATGATCAATACCAAAACCAGATTGTTTAGATTCTTTACAGCCAATGATAGAGAAGCTCTATGCAGTCAGCAAAAACAGACTGGGAGCTGACTGTGGCTCAGATCATGAACTCCTTATTGCCAAATTCAGACTTAAATTGAAGAAAGTGGAGAAAACCACTAGACCATTCAGGCATGACCTAAATCCAATCCCTTATTTTTATACTGGGGAAGAGACAAATAGATTCAAGGGATTAGATCTGATAGACAGAGTGCCTGATGAACTACGGAGGAAGGCTCATGATATTGTAAAGCAGACAGTGATCAAAATCATCCCCAAGAAAAAGAAATGCAAAAAGGCAAAATGGCTGTCTGAAGAGGCCTTACAAATAGCTGAGAAAAGAAGAGAAGCTAAAGGCAAAGGAGAAAGGGAAAGATATATCCATTTGAATGCAGAGTTCCAAAGAATATCAAGGAGAGATAAGAAAGCCTTTCTCAGTGATCAATGCAAAGAAACAGAGGAAAACAATAGAATGGGAAAGACTAGAGATCTCTTCAAGACAATTAAAGAAACAAAAGGAAATAATCATGCAAAGATGGGCACAATAAAGGACAGAAATGGTATGGACCTAACAGAAGCAAAAGACATTAAGAAGAGGTAGCAAGAATACACAGAAGAACTGTACAAAAAAGATCTTCATGACCCAGAAAATCATGATGGTGTGCCCACTCACCTAGAGCCAGACATCCTGGAATGTGAAGTCAAGTGGGCCTTAGGAAGCATCACTACAAACAAAGCTAGTGGAGGTGATGGAATTCCAGTTGAGCTATTTCAAATCCTAAAAGATGATGCTGTGAAAGTGCTACACTCAATATGCCAGCAAATTTGGAAAACTCAGCAGTGGCCACAGGACTGGAAAAGGTCAATTTTCATTTCAATTGCAAAGAAAGGCAATGCCAAAGAATGTTCCGACTCCTGCACAACTGCACTCATCTCACACGCTAACAAAAAGTAATGCTCAAAATTATCCAAGCTAGGTTTCAACAGTACATGAACTGTGAACTTCCAAAAGTTCAAGTTTGATTTAGAAATGCAGAGGAATCAGAGTTCAAATTACCAACATCCATTGGATCACTGAAAAAGCAAGAGAGGTCCAGAAAATCATATACTTCTGCCTCATTGACTATACCAAAGCCTTTGACTGTGCATCACAATAAACTGTGGAAAATTCTGAAAGAGAAGGGAATACCAGAACAGCTGACTTCCCTCCTGAGAAATCTGTATGCAGGTCAAGGCAGCAACAGTTAGAAATGGACATAGAACACACAGTTTCCAAGTTAGGAAAGGAGTATGTCAAGGCTGTATATTCTCACCCTGCTTATTTATGCAAGTACCTCATGAGAAATGCTGGACTGGATGAAGTGCAAGCTGAAGTCAATATTGCCAAGAGAAATATCAATAGCCTCAGATATGCAGATGACATCACCGTTATGGCAGAAAGCGAAAAAGAATTAAAGAGCCTCTTGATGAAAGTGAAAAAAGAGAGTGAAAAAGTTGGCTTATAGCTCAACATTCAGAAAACTAAGATCATGGCCTCCAGTTCCATCACTTCATGGCAAATAGATGGGGAAATGGTGGAAACAGTGACAGACTTTATTTTTTTGGGTCTCCAAAATCACTGCAGATGGTGACGGCAGCCATGAAATTTAAAGATGCTTACTCTTTGGGATGAAAGTTATGATCAACCTAGACAGCATATTTAAAAGCAGAGACATTACTTGGCCAAAAAAGGTGCATCTAGTCAAAGCTATGGTTTTTTCAGTAGTCATGTATGGATATGAGAGTTGGACTACAAAGAAAGGTGAGTGCCAAAGAATTGATGCTTTTGAACTGTGGTGTTGGAGAAGACTCTTGAGAGTACCTTGGACTGCAAGGAGATCAAACCATTTCATCCTAAAGGAAATCAGTACTGAATGTTCATTGGGAGAACTGATGCTGGAGCTGAAACTCCAAGATTTTGGCCACCTGCTGAGAAGAACTGATTCACTGGAAAAGACCCAGATGCTAGGAAAGATTGACTGCAGGAGGTGAAGGGGACAACAGAGGGTGAGATGATTGCATGGCATCACTGACTCAATGGACATGAGTTTGAGCAAACTCTGGGAGTTGCTTATGGACAGGGAGGCCTGCCATGCTGCACTCCTTGGGGTCACAAAGAGTTGGACATGACTGAGTGACTTATCTGAACTGAATTGATATACATGTAACACTACATGTATCTATTTCCAAAATTATTCAGTCTCTATGTAACATTATAATAGCTTATGTTTAATATTGCCTTTTTTTTTACAAAGTTTAAGCTCATGATGTGTGCAATGATCTGATAGAATACATAGAACGTGCACACATGTATAAATATTGAAATTTGGTTTCTACATTTAACTGAAATTTTCCAAAGAAATTTCCACATCCATAATTCTGAAGCTTATTATTATCCTGGAAAATGTTATGATATGTATTTTAAAACTATACATAAAATAGAGTAACAATTACATACCCCATGTCCGTTGCATTTGGTACTCGGGTCACAAATTTCATACTGACTGTATTGAGAGAGGTCATGGCAAGATCCACTGTCACAAAACTAAAATGATGAAACAACCAACAACTTTAAAGTCAGGAATTCATTAACTGTACTTAGTATAAGAACTTAGACACACAATATGATATATACTTAGGATGAACTTGAATTTCATAACATCTACTCATTCTAATAAAAAACTGGAAGTCAAAATGGTACATTATTACTTTATCAAATATCAAGTTTTTACAATAAGATATTGCTTCCCTTGAAGGAGCAGACGTGAGTTTACTAATAATCAATGAAAATTATTAAAGTATTGTAATTTGGTATATTATAGGAGGTTTTTATTTTAATGTGGAAAGGGATTTTAAAAATAAAATACAATATAAGAGATATCCACTCAGTGCTTTTCAAGTGCCACAGAAATTTTCTCTAATTTGTCTCTTCAATAAAAGTAAACAACATTCTTGAGATACCTGAAAACATAGAACTTTTCTATGTCTTTTCTACAAGGCATAGAAATTATGAAGCTAAAAATTATAGCTGGCATAAGAATAAAAGAAGCCAAATTATAATGAGCATTTGTAACGGGCCTTTGCACTTTCTATGCATTTTTATATATATGCTCACATTGACCCTAAGAGGGAGATATTTTTATCCAGACTTTATATTTGATGAGAACTAAATGTACACTTTTTAGGTCATGCCACCACTGACTGACAGAACCAATATTTAGTGCAAGAACTACTTTAATCATAGAGCCCACTGATCAATGCTCAATACCAGTGCTTCAACCAGTCCTTTTTACATTCTTCTAACTTTAATAAAGTATTCCTTGTCTTTTACAAAAGCAATGTTCTCCTCACACCTCAGTTTATCTAACTTTGACTTTGAAACAGAAATTATACCCAAGTTATAGGTTATGAGGATGAAATAATTTATTACACATAAAGGAACAAAAATAGTTTGGGACATAGTAAATGCTCACTAAATACAAACTTGTGTTTAGTTTTTTATTTAACCTGATTTTTTTGGGGGGGGGTTGGGAGAGACCATGGTATCTCTTATCTTGATATGTATATATACTAGACAATAAATATGTGTTGAAATAGCAAATGGTTTTAAGGCGTTAGGAGAAGAGAAAGGCTACCCACTCCAGTATTCTGGCCTGGAGAATTCCATGGACTGTATAGTTCATGGGGTTGCAAAGAGTCGGACATGACTGAGCAACTCACTTTCACTACTTGGAGATTTAGTATTTAACCTGATTTTGATGAAGACTGCAAGTTAATATTCCTCTATCAAAATTTTAATTTAATTTGAATACTCTGGGGGACATCTTCTAAGATTATCTGCACACTTTTGTTAAGTTATCTGTCAGAATATCTAACATGTGATGAAGTCTAAAACATTCATTATTTTCTATCACTATTGGTAAGTAAATATATGGACAAAGGTCTGTCCAGTCAAAGCTATGGATTTTACAGTAGTCATGTAGGAAGTGTACAGTTCAGTCACTCAGTCATGTGTGACTCTTTGCGACCCCATGAACTGCAGCACATCAGGGCTCTGTGTCCATCACCAACTCCCGGAGTCCACACAAACCCATGTTTATTGAGTCAGTGATGCCATCCATCTCATCCTCTGTTGGCCCTTTCTCCTCCTGTACTCAATCGTTCCCAGCATCACGGTCTTTTCCAATCAGTCAGCTCTTCGCATAAAGCGGCCAAAGTATTGGAGTTTCAGCTTCAATATCAGTCCTTCCAATGAACACCCAGGACTGATCTCCTTTAGGATGGACTGGTTGGATTTCCTTGCAGTCCAAGGGACTCTCAAGACTCATCTCCAACACCACATTTCAAAAACATCAATTCTTTGGTGCTCAGCTTTCTTTATACTCCAACTCTCACATCCATACATGATCACTGGAAGAACCATAGCCTTGACTAGACGGACCTTAGTTGACAAAGTAATGTCTCTTCTTTTTAATATTCAGTCTAGGTTGGTCATAACTTTCCTTTCTTAAGAGTAAGCATCTTTTAATTTCCTGGCTGCAATCACCATCTGCAGTGATTTTGGAGCCCCCCAGAATCAAGTCAGACACTGTTTCCCCATCTATTTGCCATGAATTGATGTGACTGGATGCCCTGATCTTAGTTTTCTGAATGTTGAGCTTTAGGCCAATTTTTCACTCTCCTCTTTCACATTTATCAAGAGCCCCTTTAGTTCTTCTTCACTTTCTGCTGTAAGGGTGGTGTCATCTGCATATCTGAGGTTGTTGATATTTCTCCCAGTAATCTTGATTCCAGCTTGTCCTACCTCCTGCCCAGCATTTCTCATGATGTACTCTGCATGTAAGTTAAATAAGCAGGGTAAAAATATACAGCCTTGATGTACTCCTTTTCCTATTTGGAACCAGTGTCTTGTTCCATGTCCAGTTCTAACTGTTGCTTCCTGACCTGCATACAGATTTCTCAAGAGGTGGGTCAGGTGGTCTGGTATTCCCATCTCTTTCAGAATTTTCCACAGTTTATTGTGATCCACACAGTCAAAGACTTTGTTATAGTAAATAAAGCAAAAGTTGATGTTTTTCTGGAACTCACTTGCTTTTTTGATGATCCAGCGGATGTTGGCAATTTGATCTCTGGTTCCTCTGCCTTTTCTAAAACCAGCTTGAACATCTGGAAGTTCACGGTTCACATATTGCTGAAGCCTGGCTTGGAGAATATTGCTCATTACTTTACTAGCCTGTGAGATGAGTGCAATTGTGCAGTAGTTTGAGCATTCTTTGGCATTGCCTTCCTTTGAGATTGGAATGAAAACTGACTTTTCCCAGTCCTGTGGCCACTGCTGAGTTTTCCAAATTTGCTGGCATATTGAGTGTAGCACTTTCACAGCATCATCTTTCAGGATTTGAAATAGCTCATCTGAAATTCCATCACCTCCACTAGCTTTGTTTGTAGTGATGCTTCCTAAGGCCCACTTTGACTTCATATTCCAGGATGTCTGGCTCTAGGTGAGTTATCACACCATTGAAATTATCTGGGTCGTGAAGGTATTTTTTGTACAGTTCTTCTGTGTATTCTTGCTACCTCTTCTTAATATCTTCTGCTTCTGTTAACTCCCTACAATTTCTGTCCTTTATTGAGCCCATCTTTGCTAAAATATTCCCTTGGTATCTCTAATTTTCTTGAAGAGATTTCTAGTCTTTCCCATTCTATTGTTTTCCTCTATTTCTTTGCATTGATTGCTGAGGAAGGCTTTCTTATCTCTCCTTGCTATTCTTTGGAACTCTGCATTCAAATGGGTATATCTTTCTTTTTCTCCTTTCCTATTCACTTCCCTTCTGTTCACAGTGATTTGCAAGGCCTCCTCAGACAAACATTTTGCGTTTTTGCATTTCTTGTTCTTGGGGATGGTCATGATTCCTGTCTCCTGTACAATCACAAACTTCTGTCCATAGTTCATCAGGCACTCTATCAGATCTAGTCCCTTAACTCTCACTACCACTGTATAGTCATAAGGGATTTGATTTAGGTCATACCTGAATGGTCTGGTGGTTTTCCCTACTTTCTTCAATTTCAGTCTAAATTTGGCAATAAAGAGTTCATGATCTGAGCCACAGTCAGGTCCTGGTCTTGTTTTTGCTGACTGTGTAGAGCTTCTCCATCTTTGGCTACAAAGTAGGTAATCAATATGATTTCGGTATCTACCATCTGGTGATGTCCATGTGTTGCATGTTCTCTTGTGCTGTTTCAAGAGGGTGTTTGCTATGAACAGTGCATTCTCTTGGCAGAACTCTATTAGCCTTTGTCCTGCTTCATTCTGTACTTCTAGGCCAAATTTTCCTGTTACTCCAGGTGTTTCTTGACTTCTTACTTTTGCATTCCAGTCCCCTATAATGAAAAGGACATCTTTTTTGGGTGTTAGTTCTGGAAGGTCTTGTAGGTCTTCATGGAACTGTTCAGCTTCAGCTTCTTCAGCGTTACTGCTAAGAACATATACTTGGATTACCGTGATATTGAATGGTTTGCCTTGGAAATAAACAGAGATCATTCTGTCGTTTTTGAGATTGCATCCAAGTACTGCATTTCAGACTCTTTTGTTGACTCTGATAGCTACTTCATTCCTTCTAAGGGATTCCTGCCCACAGTCGTAGATAGAATAGTCATCCGAGTTAAATTCACCCATTGCAGTCCATCTTAGTTCGCTGATTCCTAGAATGTCAATGTTCACTCTTGTCATCTCCTGTTTGACCACTTCCAATTTGCCTTGATTCATGGACCTAACATTCCAGGATGTGAGAGATGGACTATAAGGAAAGCTGTGTGCCGAGAATTGATACTTTTGAACTGTGGTGTTGGTGAGACTCTTGAGAGTCCCTTGGACAGTAAGGATATCAACCCAGTCCATCCTAAAAGAAATCAGTCCTGAATATTCATTGGAAGGACTGATGCTGAAGCTGAAACTGAAATAGTTTGGCTGCCTGCTGTGAAGAACTGACACATTGGAAAAGACCCTGACATGTGAAAGACTGAAGGCAGGAGGAGAAGGGGATGACAGAGGATGTGATGGTTGGATGGCACCATTGCTTCAATGACATGAGTCTGAGCAAGCACCAGGAGTTGGTGATGGACAGGGAAGCCTGGCTTGCTGCAGTCCACTAGGTCGCAAAGAGTTGGACATGACTGAGCAACTGTTTGAGGGCAGGAGGAGAAGGGAACGACTGAGGATGAGATGGTTGGATGGCATCACCGGCTCAATGGACATGGGTTTGGGTGGACTCCAGGAGTTGATGATGGACAGGGAGGCCTTGCATGCTATGGTTCATGGAGTCGCAAAGAGTCGGACATGACTGAGCGACTGAACTGAGCAACTGAACTGATTGGTAAATAAAAAACAAACATAAGCTTGCTAATTAACTGAAAGTGCTTTGATGATGCCGGTAAGGGGAAAAAAAAATGTGTGGCAAACCAGCAGTATCTTAGAACAAAACTACTGGGTTGACCACTATATTCATTTGACTTTTTCTTCATTTGACTTTTTCTATAAGATGGCTC